TAAACAGTCAAATTGAAAAAGAAACCAAAAACGCTCCTAAAATATGTCATTTTAATGAAAAATTGCATGATTTGAACTCATGGAATAAATTTTAAAATGTTTGACATTTTTTTTTTTTGAAGTATGTAAGAGCTTAAAATTTTCACAAATCAAAATCTGTCTTAGCAAAAAAATTCATCAGTTGTCGCTCGTTTCTGTAATAAAACTTTGTTTTTGCAAATTAAAACTTTCATTGTAAAATTTTGCGCAACTTCAAATTTCAAGTGCAGTTTAGTATAAGATTTCAATTTTTTAGTTTTGGATTTCTTATTACTTTTTCAATTTTTTTACCTGTTCTCCTCGACTCAAGACGCGAAACCTCCTCACTCCCACTGTAGTCAAAATAAAACTCCCATCTTCCAAAGAAACAGCATCTTTCACTTCTAAAACCGTTCCATAGGAAACAAATTTCTCCCCACTGTCTTCTTTGGCAGCCATTGCAAATCTTCGTGTTGGAGACAACAAACACCTCCTTACCAAAAGACGATATCGTGGCTCATAGACGTACAAAGGGCAAGCGACTCCGGGGAAAGCATTGGTGCATATAAATACAGGAATCTGTAATAAAACCCCTTAGAATCACACAATTCAACACAAAAAAATATTCATTCTTACATCCGAATTTCTATTGAGCATTTGCGCCTCCTTCAAGTCAATTAAAAGCCGTTCATTGTATTCCTTCGGGAGGAGAAACCTGATGGCTTGGTCCAAGACCACAGTCGTCCCTCGAGAATAGTCCTTCAGACTCAAAGAAGCCATACACAGAGGGCAAGACAATCCATGGTCTAAAACTCGGGTCAAACAACCCTTACAAAACGTGTGACCGCAAGCTGTGGTAATTGGATCGAAAATACAACGACTACAAAGGATGCACTCCAAATCGGTGGCTGTTATAGTGTTCCAGCAGTTTTTAATGGCTGTGTCTTTGATCGTTTCGGCTTCTTTGAAGGCGTTTCGAATGGCGATGGTGAATTTTCGGGTTGATTTTTCGACAACGTTGGGCATTGTTCTAATCTGTGAGGTGGAAAAGTGAGTTTTCGGTGCAATTGGGACGACGGAAACTTACACTTTTCGTGTTTTCGTCGCTGATTTGTAAACCTGCAAAGCCGGATCTGAGATGGTAGCGTGGTTGGATGCCTAAAATGTCGGTCGTGTTGGGGATTGAGTTATCTGAAATATAAAAAAACAATTAGAAAAAGATTAAAAAAAAAATACTTCCTTAATTCAATTCCACAATTTTTTATAACTTTGTAATAAAAATTAGACTAATCTGAAAACTAATACAGTTGATGTCAACTTTTTGGATTATTCAGTTAAAGTTTTGTGGAACAAAAAAAAGCAATTAAACAATTTCGTTTATGTGTGAAAAAAGTTCATTTCGTTAATTATAAGTAGAAGAAAAGTCATCATGGTCCACTGTTTCGCATATGTAAAAAAATTAAAATTAGGTACTTGTTTTTTTTAGGTAATAATTGATTCATGGGTGGAAATGACACTATTTCCCCTTTATTTAATTAACTTCTGTGTTTCTCAATTTTTTGGATAGTAGAGTTGTTGCGCTATTTCGTCCAACAACATTCGTGTATAAATCAGATACTTTCCGCCCTGATTAATGAAATTTCGTTTTGTGTATTTTTTAAACCTTCATTTCTAAAATAAAGTAGGTAAGTAAAAGTAGCACACGTGATATGTGCATATCTTTTCTACACATGGGAGGAATTAACACACTTTGCAAAAAATACATGAAAACTAGATTCATTTCCTTAAGTGTCAAATAATTTTTCATTTCTAACTTTGTAAAATAAAAATAAAAAAAAATATCTCAGCAAATTTTTTGTAGATTTTCGTAGCGGAAAAAATGAAATACTTTCTGTAGGTACTGTTGATATAAATATCTTATTTTTCGGAAGATTTTTGTTTCATTCTTAAAACTATACTAAAGTAACAAAATAAAAAAATGTGGGATTCAAAAAATCATTTTTTTACTCCGATACGGAAAGTTACTAAATTTTTGACTAGTGTAGAAGAAGAATTTTATACATTCCACTTTCGTAAAAAATTAATTTTTTAAGTTGTGATAACTTGAATCAGAAACTTAAAAATTAAATCAAACTGATTCATTTTCTTCTCTTGTTAGAGAAAATATATTTCGGTAAGGAAACAGAACATTTTTTTCCAATTAAGAATCATAAAAAATATTTGGCATTGAAAGCGCTTTGTAGTTCCGCATCAATAAATTTTGGCCCTCAAATGCCCACAAAAACGCTAAACATACCTTCGAATGACCTTTGCATTGTTAAAATGCCGAAAACCCAGACCTAGTCTCACAAAAACTGTTGACTTTGGTCAAATTAAATTCTTCACTGTCCGTCTCGCGTTTACCTATTTATTTTTAAAGTCTCGAATGAAATCCATTAAAGGCACAGAAAATTTATCTTTGCTCTGATGGGTGCAAATCTCGAAATTTTAAAACCAGATAATAAGGAAATTCTTTCTCTACCGACGGTATATTTTATTTTGTCTTAAAACTGTGGGCGCCGACTTTTCATGTTTTCAGTGGGTGCATAAACAAAAATTGGTATAACTTGCAGGTCTTGCGAATAATTACGCGAAAAAACGATTTCATCTTCCCTTTGTTTGATGAATTTATTGTATTTAATATTTCGAAAATTTAAATACAATATAATTTTTTATATAATATAAAAGAAAAAAATCTATAACATATGCAATAAAAAGTGTCAAGAAAATAATACATGTTTAAAGTTGCAAAATGCTGCAAGTTGTTGACTTTTGAAAAATAATACACTACTGTTAAATTTGAAAAAAAAAAAACAGAAACAATTAATAAAATTTGCGTGAATGTTCGTAAATCGAGTGCTGAATACAGCTTGGGGGGTAACAGCTTTTTATTAACGCAATTAATTTGAGATGAGTAAAATTAGGTTTTGCAAAAGCTAAATAAATGGTCTCAAAAATTAGTTAGTATTAGTTTTTGATTTTTTACATTTTCAAAAATATCATTTTTTTTTTAATTTAACGTGCAAAATTGTAGAAAAAAAGTCTTGGGAATTTAATTTTTTTATTAACTTAGTGGATGAAGTAAAAAAAATATAAGGTGTTTAGTCACCATAACCGCTTTTCGCTTATGTGGTGAATAGATTTTCATTTGTGTAGCAGAAAGAATGTTCATGTACCTTTCATACCTCCCCTCGTAGGTATAAAAAAATTAAATTTTCAATTAGATAGTTTAGGAAAAAGTTATTAATTTGATATTGAACTTGAAACACCCATAAGTGTGAAAATAGATATTTTTAAATAATTCTATTCTTTTTTTAGGCTTAGATGAAAATGCTCCACTTTCTTCCTTTCAGTCAAAATAAAACGGAAAAAGCGTTTTATTTAGCAGTCCACAAAAACACTATACAGTTTCGAGTGACCTTTGCATTGTTAAAATGCCGAAATCCCAGACCTAGACTAACAAAAACTGTCGTATTTTTTGGTAAAATTCTCTCGCTATTGTCTCGGGTCGTGTTTTCCTTTTTAATGAGTTTTTAAGCTCTCGAATGAAATCAATAAAGCCACTTGGAAGACATCAAACCGTCTGGGAATGCCAAGATTATGTGGGAATGACCTCCTGGCATTGACTGCATCGGCGGACTGCAAAGAATACCGGTACTAAAAAAACAGTTGGTTGATTAAAAACCGCAGCGATCGGTTGTAAAAAGTGCATTGTTGTCGATATTTTAAGACTTGAAGCTGACCTATCCACACAATTTACGTCAAACGTCCATAAATAAAACGATTTTGTTTTCAAAAACATCATGTATGCAAGTGAGGAATATATAAAAATGACGACATTATTTGTGTATTACCGATTTAGAAACGGTTTATGTAAGTTTTAGAAAACGAAAAGTTAGAGTTTTAGAGCAAAACGGCGCAAGATATGCTTTCACTTTGTATCGAAGCATTTTTATGGCGAACGGTAACGAAGACAAAATTGGGCTTTTTGTCAAGGAAAAAAGGTGAAATTTTGCTCGAGTTTAATTACACAAACGCGGCTTGCGATTAAAGCAATTTTACAAATATATCAAAATTGGGAAAGTTTTAGGAAAATAATTTGATTTAACAAGCGGAGTTTAAAAAACTAATAATCACAAAAAATCAACGGCCTAAAAGTCTTGTAGAAAATCTCATAAATTGTATAAATTGCGATCAATAGGAAAATCGAACTGTTTATTTATTAATCGGCGTTTGATAATTAAATTATAGTTAAGTTGGAAATTCTTTGAAAACTCATTACGATATCACTTCAAAAAATAACATATAGGATGAGTTTCCTGTAAAATTCAAATTATATGAAACAGCCTGTATAAAAATGTAAGTGAAAAGTTTTTATCTAGTTTTGAAAATCGAATTTTCGAATAAATTCAAAAAGTAAAAAAACACGACATTTTCAGGTTTTTTCAACGCATTCAATTTCATCGAAATATTCTTTAAAGAAGGTCAAAGTCTGGCAGATCCTTAAATAAGTCGATACTTACAACTAGAATTAATTTGAAAAAAATTAAAATTTTCTCGAAAATCATAAAAACAGAGATGTTTACAAATTGTGTTATAATACTTAGGTACCTACGTAGTTAAATCAACAAAGTCTCTTTTTTATAAAACTGTTGAAAATAGAAAAAAAATAAACCTCTAATTAAAGCTTTATCAAACTCCAAACAACCCAAAAGCCAAATTATACAAGAAACAATAGACAACAAACGATTACAAGGGAACTTTTTGTTAAGAAAATATTGCAAAAATTTTAAAATTAGATATATTATTTTCACCTCAAAATGGATTTACTTTTGTAGATAATATGGATTTAATCGTATACAATATTTATTCTACTACCTATTTTCAAATTTACTTAAATACATATACAACGTGTTTCAAAATGGGTTTTCCAGGTAAAATAAAAATGCCGCTTTAAAAAATATTAAATCCAATTAATCTCAAATGTTATTTTACTTTGATTGACAGCTGTCACTGTTGATAGAATTATTTGGTTCAAGAAGAGTAGAGCGGTACAGAAAATTTTACATGTATATGGACCCACAAATAACACAGGCGACTAGATGAAAATCATTTTGAAACACGTTGTACATTTTACATTTACTTTGTTTGATACAGAATAGAGTAAAAATTAACGTTATCCATAAACAATAGTAATTTATGTATCAAGAGAATAAACAATTATTTTAATCCAGAGAATGTAGGTCATGCCAGAAGTGACCAAAGGAAGCCGAGGACATTTTCATTCATGAAATTAACGATGTTTTTCCAGAGATGCTTATAAAACTTTCCTCCCAAAAGACTAAATTCGTATTAACATAAGAAACTGATATATTTGACCAATAATGGTAAACAATTTGTCAAAATATTTAATTCATGCAATTGCAATCTTTATTTCCAGTTTTTAAGAGCAAAAATCGGTATTTCATTTCTTTTATTCCTGAGGGAATAAAGCGTTACTTTAATTTTTTAAGAAAAAAATTACCCACTACTTAGTAGGTACATAAAGTAAACAGTAAGATTATGCAGCCTTCAAGTTTACTTGCTGCTTTACCAACGAGAAATAAATAGTTTAATAGTAGATTTTATAAAAATGATTTGAGACAGCATAATAATAATCGTAAGTCAAAAATATGTATAGAGGCTACCCAACTAAAATCTACGATTTCGTCCAAATTTGAAAAAATGCTGAAACAGGTCAATTTTAACTTAAAAAAATTTAAATAGCAAGAGGGGTCGAGTGACATCATTTTGAAGTTGTTTTCATTGTTTTTTTTTTGAGGTTACTGAGGGGAAACAAAAGTGATTAAATATGCTATTACTATTCAATTTTTTTGGTACAATTATTGACTTGTTTCAGGATTTTTCCAAACATACAGGGTGAATATAAAGTATGGAATCAAGCGGTTTTTTTAATCATTTCCCTCCAGAAAATAATAATTAATAAAATTAACGTAATATAAAAAATGTGATCGTATTAAGAACGAAATTTAGTTTTGCGCAATTTTTTTCCTCAAAGATACAATAATTTATGTATTTTTTTTTTAATTACATACATATTTATAAAGTAAATAGTTGTGATTCTTAGATCATAACCTTCATGAGAAAAATGGTTTTATAGTGGGTTGCCATTTAAAAAAAAATTTTTTTTGTAGAACTCAAAAACAAAACAAAAATTCGAAAAATTTTATTCTTGATAAAAGATCACATTTTTATAGTACTTTATCATTTATCAATTAGTTTTTCCAAAAAATAAATAGTTTGAGCCAAAAACGTTTGGTTCTATATTTTTTATTCACCTGGTATGTACAAAATTAACCAAACCTGAAATTTTATGATCAAAAAATTACAAGCATTCGTTGTATGCATAAAACTAAAATTAAACTGCAGTGACGTCAATACAACATTCCTACCAACCACAACAGAATTCCCTAAAACTGGACAATGTGAGTTTGATTAAGTTTAATTAAATTTAATATAATTTAAAAATAATTTAAAAAATAATTAATCGCTTTTGGTGTTTTTTTTTTGTTAAGAAATTAATAAGAAAGAAGAATTAATAATTAATAAGAAATTATAATGAAATTACATTTCAGTGGCGCCAAGGCAACCCACTTAAACTTTAAAAAAATTTAAGAAACATGCTTTATTAAAATTTTTGATCACATTACATTTTTTACATTGCGCGCCGGTAATATGTAGGTGTTAAAATAAGCCATTTAAGTTTTTAGTGCTTTTTTTGTGAAAAATTTGATACAAGATTCATAATTGCATTTTTTATAATCAAAAAATTACAAAAACTCTCTTTTCGCATAACACCAAAATTAAATTGCTACCAACCACAATAAAATTCCCCCCAGCCCCAAACTTCAAAAAATTTCAAAAAAGCTGCACAGACCTACTGGACTTAGAACTGTTGTTGGATAATCTATTTAGAGCATCCTTTCTTGTCGAAGGCCAAACAAAGTGCCATGTAATCCATATTTGTCTAAACATTTTAAAATGACCCGAGGCTTGGGTAACTCAATGCATTGGAAGCACATTTATATAATATCACTATTACATAACAGTCCCACGCCTTGTAAGATAAGAATATTATTATTTACGATCCAGTTGCTTGAAACACGGTCAAAATTTACCACAAAAAAGCAATCGAATCAAATTTAAACGTCCCAAAATAGTCACAAAACACTCAGCACGTGGCCAATGCCTAAAATTAGTGCTCGTCCACAGCACATCGAACTTTTATCATCGAAAATTCGCAACAATTACGCAATTCATTCATTTGGGTGATACCCCAATCCGAGAAATGTTATCACGGGGCGACAATGTTGATAAACACTATAATTAGTGAAAAACACAACTTGGATAAACTTGATCCGATTTGCGTAAGTGGGTGCAAGTTCAAAAAATTTGACAGAACTTGGGCTATTTTTGGCCGTGTCGTTGGACTCATCAAGTCCGTGAAATACTCGCTTTAATACCCACATCCGCTAGGATTGAGGCTGTTGACCTTAATATTCAATAAATTACGTAAAAGTGAATCAAAGGAAAAATCACTATCATGCGATAATGCCACTATTTTTTACTAGTTATCAACGGAATATCGAATAGGCATTACGTTATAGAGAATTTCAGCCTGTGATTACATAAATATGAAATAACATCAGTAATATCTTACATGAAATTGTAAAATTATACTTTCAATTTAGTCCTTGTGCTCGTTTCATAATATAATATTGTCGAGAATGAACAAATACCTCGACGGATCGGCTCTATTAACAACAATTAAATTGGTCTTTTTTTAAACACACATAAGCGCGAGCAAAAAACCTATTTTTAATAATAATTCGAGTGTGACAAAGCCGGACTTTGTTAAAGTAAATGCGCGTGTGTAACTTATTTGTTTTGTTGTTACATAAGCCCTTAATATGCATAATCATATGTACGTCCTGTTTTTGATTTTTAATGAGTCGAATTGTGACCGCGACGCAGTTATTTATTTGAATTAAACATAAACTTTTTTAAGGAAAAGCGAATATATTATTAGTAATAAACAAATTCAACCAATTTAGAATTTTAGTGCTAAATTAAGTCATTCGAAAAAACGAACCTAACCTCGTTTTTGAGTCCAATAACTTAGTAAACTACATCGTATATTTTTAAAGTACCACGTGTACAATTAAATTTCCAATCAAAGGAGGCTATGAGTTTGAAATTTAGTTGGCAACGCTGCATAATGGACAGATAAAAAATATAAAAACTGTTAAGTGTCATATTTTTAATCTCTACACTATTCAATGTTGCCAACTTCATTTCAAAGCCACAGGCCACTTTGAAGTTTGGTATTCGAGTTTAGTATTTAATTATTATCTGAACTTACAACAGGCAACAATGTTTATTAATTTTTTTTTTTTAGTTTTTAGTTATTTTTCGTAACCCCATTTACGACGCCACCTTGACTGCTTTTTCAAAATCAAAATTTGATAAAACAGGGTTTAAAATCACTATTTTGAAGTTGGTAATTTTGAGTTTGCTAACATTAATTAATAAATAGCAACTGGAAACATATTTTAAGAAAAATCTACATTGTTTCATGGTCTAATACACCAAATTCCACTGTATTATTAACAATTCTAAAAAATGTGGGAGATTTTGAAGTTTTGAAATATCTTCTAAATTTTTTTCTAAAAATTTGACATCGAAGGAATGCAAATCTATAACCAAATTTTGTTTTTATAGCATCCAAAGCACACAAACAATTGGAACAAATGTCTCGGGTGCTTACATATTTTTTTATGAACTTTTTCTAAAAATCATATTAGCCTTGAAATTTGACAGTTGACAATCTTGAACTGCCTTAGGTAATTCTTCAAACCTTCGGATATCAAATACAAAAAAAATTATTGACTTATTGCAAAAAGTTAGTTTTGATTTTTTTGAGTCGACAAATGAAATTTGAATTTCGACAAAGAAATTGACATATGTCAATAACTATGGCAAATAAGTACGAAAAACGTTTTACTCAATTTTAGAAAACGAATTCAAGAGTGTAAGAAAAATGGATGATTCCCATTTAAAATTTCAGAGTTGGCATTTTTGAAAATAATTTAGTTTCATCAAGAATGGTTGATTTTGGTCGCGTACAAAATTTCAAAATTAGAAGTTGAAAAGTTTGTAATGTAGACCCTACAAGAATCACCCTGTATAAACAAACAAAATTGTCACTTAAAAATAAAATAATACTATGAATTTGAATTTAATTTTTCAAATTACCTCAGTCAAACCCTAAATTAAAATTAATGAAAAGCCTCGATAAAAGCATTACATTAAATTGTCTGCACTGTATTAATTTCGTCCTTCACACAAATTTTACAAAATTTCTATCCAGGAATGTTCCAATTGTCCTTAATCTATATTTAATATTTGTTTTACTAATGAGCTCACTCCTAACCAACTCTTGCCAAATAATGTCATTTTGTCGCTTTAAGTTAAGTGTATTGTCACAGTATTTTACTTCAAGTCTGTATGTAAGTAAAAAATATTTCAAAATTTAAATTAAAACTTTTTAGATCAAAATAATGTTGTTCGATTTAGCAATCATTGCCACTTTAATTGCCTCGACATCATGCCATCCAGTGCCCCAAAACCAACTTCCGGAACGTTCTTCCGGCGTAAATTTATTGGAAGAAGCTGAAAAACTTAATCAAAATTTAAATTCCGTCTCAATGAGTGATCTTTTGGATTCCTTTGGAGGCTCATCGACCGAGACACAAGCACCGGAACCGGCCCCAAATTCCCACAATGGCCTCTATTTCCTCTTTGACTGGAACTCGTTCTTGGAAGTGGACGACCAGTTGGGGCGCCGAGTCAACTTACGGTTCCAACCCACAATCGGAGATCCCAAAAGATTCATTTCCGTTTCGGTGCCATAAAAGTGACCTTTTGTGTATTTATAAACAATTCAATAAAATCGAGAAAATATTTTGTATATTTTGTAGTTATGAGAAGGCTCTTAAAGTACTAGATTGAGTGTCTAGTGTTATTTTTGTATAAGGTTGGTACCAGCAACACAGAGGCAAGGTAATTTTCGTCCCAGTTCGAAAAATTCGAGTTCGATCCCGGGTGAAGGCAGTTTTCTTCTACTTTTACAATAACAAAAATTAACACATGATAATACAAAAAAGACGGTAAAGTTATTTTGGGCAAACGCGTGTCATAATAACATTTCTTATGAGATATCATGGATTAATTTTTAACCAGCCCCAATTTAAATTATTTCGTTTAAAACTGTTTTAAATTAACATCATTATGCGTACTTTCGCAACATAATTAAGGTCGTTTTTTGTGCAACATTATGAGTTCTTCATTAATTTAAAGAGAAAATATAAAAGTCGATTAAGACACAGTTATTCCCATTTTTGGATAAGATCCAAATTAATTAAAATTAAATGTTTTTTAATAGCTTAATGAGGCATTTTCTTTGGCCCCACCTGCCAACATTCTTATGAAAATTTTCCAAATGTATAATTTTAATTATTACAGTGCGTCTTTCTGCTCCGTTCCCTCAAACAATGGCTTTGTAAAAAGTGTCCCTGATATTTACACAATGTCGTAACGATTGCTTCACTTGAAGTAAGATCAGTCAAAATTTATTAAGAACGTGTCTTCATTACCCAACAGGAGGTGTGCAGATCTAGATGAAATGATTAACGTTTATTTGTTAAAGTTTGTAATATGTTCGATGCTGTCGTAACAGCAGTTACAGCAATGGCTGGCTGTGTAACATTACCGAATCTCCTCTCTGTAGGTTGCAGGATCGGTCACGGCAGGAGTGTTGCTAACTTCTTTGCAGTGCAAAGGATTGTGCAATCGATGGCCACAATAGACTGTTATGCCATCCGATTACTGTACATGATTACGTTAAGGAACGTAGGGTGTTATTAAATTAACTGTGTTTTGTAACGTTTGAGATGTTTGTTTTCGATTTCAACGGCACTTACACTTGCCTCAATTTTACCAAAATTAATATTTTCTCCAAAAAAATTGAAACATTTAAAAATCTTGTCATATTAAGTTGGTAGTTTTTTTGTTAGCTTGAGATGTGTAACAGAAACCTACAATACCAGGTGAACCAAACACTTTTTCCCCACTCTAAATCTTCAAGTGGTCAATATTTAAACTCATTTCAAATAATCGGTCAAGGCACGAGATAGATACACTCATTACTTTTATTATCATTGTTATTATTTTTATTATGGCTATCATACTCAATTATTGATTTATCTGTTTGCTTTCATTATTACATATTTTCACATTATAATGTAAAAAATATAAAATACTTATCGCCTCGACACAGGTCAAACCTAGACTCTATATTTCATGCGTTCTAGAGGCTTTTAATTCAATTTTGAATATACTTCAATATTTCAGGAATTTGTTTTTTTTGTAAAAATGTCAACCTATTCACTTAGAAATTAACAATATAACTTACTCGTAATTATAAAAAATTTAATCAACAGCCTTTTCCATATTTTTTAAAAAATATACTACTTAGCAAAAAAATCGTTACACCAAGAAATAGAAAAAAAAATTGAACAAATTTCACGATTTACTATTGAGTACGTTAAAAACATGTATTGTGTTATGTAAAGTTAGACCAAAATCCGATTCAAAATAATCTGTGTATTCTTGTGAATATGGTAATTTTTGTCATTTTTCTTTTATTATTTTCAATTATTGTAAAAAAAACATTGATAGGTAATCGACCCATAATTTTTTGATCCGCTTTAAAAACGTTTTGAACATAACATGTATCACTTATAACGTAATTAGAACATACAACAAATACATCGAAATCTTTAATTCTGGAAATTCAGTGTTTACCTTCAAGAGTAAAATTAAGAACTTGCTTTTGAATAATTAACTTTGTTCAACTGAGTAAACTGAGTTGGATAACACTGGCAATGATTTCTTTCTTTACTTTTAGTTATTAAGTAACTTCCAAATTTATTTTTATTTAAATTTTATATTGTTTATAATAATTATTTTTATTTTTATGTTATAATTGTTTTTTTTTTCTATTAATTTTCTTTTGAGGTTAAGTTGAATATCTTCAAGCTAGACTTCGCCTCCGCATCTTTGTATTACTTTTAATTTATTAATAAAGACCTTTATATTTTTTTTTTCTGGAAAAAACACATTTTTCGAGATCGTAATCCCAAAATATTTATTTATTCACACTGAACATCCCATCTAAGGTTAATAATGAAAATGCAGTTTTTGTAGCTAGGAACAGTATTTTTTTAAACGCTGTTAAAGAAAACCGTTGTCTTATAACCACTATTTCATGAAAACGAACAGGTTGGCACTTACCTAAATTAATTCTCTGTTGCATGAACGAATTAGTTATTAAAATACATTTTTTCAATTTGGATAGATACGTTTTTTTCTTACAAGTATTACATAAAGTTTATAATAAAATGACCACATTTTAAAGTATTACAAAAAAAAATACACATAATGACATTTTTTGCCTAAACTATTAACTTTTTTTAAAAACTAATTGATGAATGATGAAGTATTATGTATGTATAAAAATGTGACGTTAAAAATTTTCATATTTTCTTTTGTTTTTTGAGTTCTGCAAACTTTTTACTTTTTTCAAGTGACACAAACCTTTTGTTTACAAGGGCTTTGATCTAGGGATTACAACTACCTACATTTATTCAATTTTTATCGAAAAACATTTCATATAAATTGGCATTTGCAAAAAACTCTAAAACAAAACAAAATTTCAATCTCAAAACACGATTACATTTTTTATATCATTTTAATTTTCATTAATTAATATTTTGTAAAGACAAATAATTAAAAAAACCGCTTGGTCCCATACCTAGTTTTGTTCACCCCATATTTACTATTACCTCGTATTTTCATTGTACCTATTCAAATTATTGTACTAGTTTATTTATCAAGAAAATATTAAATGAGACACGTTGTTTGAACCAAATAAAAATTTCGACTCAACACGATCTAACTAAGCGTTCAAGATTTAAAATAAGTTGGGAAAAATTCGCTAGTTAGTAAAAATTTTACCTAATTTACACAATAGACTGATATTTCAAATGACATTTTTCAGCGACTGCATATTATGTAAATCTTGCAACGAAACACGTTTGGATCTAGTTCAGGTGGCCGAATTAGGCCAATCTAAAGTCTTTCCTAATATACAAAAATCACTAGTAATCGTTTCAGTTGGCAGTACGACAGTGTCAAAATAACAACATAACCTCACCTTATTATCTAAAAATTATAATTAATTATTATTCAATCAAAACATGAACGCTAACTTTTGACAAACAATAAACCCACCTATACGTTAATTATTGCAACTCATGTTATTGCGAGATAATTGGCCGGTAAAAAGCATGAACAGTCATTGAACTGCACAAACTAAAATAGTTCTAGTATTCCTCCACACCTGAATAATTACGACCGTGAAGTTAGTTTTTTTTTCAAGGTTTATTGGAACTTTGATGGCTATCATTGTAATTCGCTTACATAAACGCGTGATAAAAATATTTTCGTTATTGACTAATTTAGCTAGTTGTTTTTTATGGCACAAGGGGGCCCGTGTGGGTATCATCGTGGTGGGCATTGCATTGTTACGAGATTGTTTTTGTCAATTGAAGTCGTTTTGCAAGAGATCGATATTTTGCAAAGTGGAACGTTGTTTTAATTGATTCAAAATTGCGTTATGGGAATGTAATTTATTTACGTAAGTGCATATGCAGAACCGTACTGTACCGTTTTGAACCGTTTCATTATTGTCGATTACGGCCGCCGAAGTAAACTTTTAGTTCAACGCAGGTTAGTTACATCACAAAGCAACGCAACGCAACGCTAATCCAATACTCATAAAGTCCAATTGACTAATTAACAATTACATAAATAGATTTACGTAAAACGGCTTTTAGGTTTATCACGAGTGTGATAATTCCAATTTTTGAAAAAAAAAAACGAAGACAACACTCGAGTTACGTAACTCGGTAAATAGGTAAACTCAAATCGTTATTCTAAGGCCAAATCAATAAATTGTAATCTAGTGCGTCACTAATTATAAATATTACACATCGAATTGTGGATTTTGTTACAAACTGTTATACAACAAACAAGTTAGACATGCCAAACAATATAAATATTGTTTGTCACGTAGTTTAAATTATTACTGCCATATCTGTGTATAAATAATCACTTAATAAGCCTTACATAAAAGATTAGAGAATGGTCTAATCTAATTATGGAGGTCGTTCTTCCCGACGTATGATATTTTTTATATAACTCATGTTTCAAGGGTTGAACTGACGTTCGTAACAAATAGTTATTTACATGCGCGTGTGGTAACTAACGTTTTACAGGGCGGAACTAATTTGACACAAGACATATATCAAAATAATTGAGCCCTGTAAAATGGCTAACATATTAAACTTTTTGGACAAAAACTTTTATTAAAAAAATCAGAAATAATTTTTTCATTCGACGTCAACGACTACAGAATTGTCAACAAGAAATTACCACCTAGGATTTGAATTTTTAGGAAAATTACGTTTTTCATGTTGTTTGTAACTAGAATTTTCAAAAGTAATTTTGAATACTTAGGGTTGGTTACCCCTGGTCGTTGACGGTTGACGTTTTCTGTCAACCTGCTGTTAACTATCAGTTGAATTATCCACAAGGGTTAACAGTGACTTAACCTAAACTTTGACACTGGTTACGAAATCTTTTGTTTGTCAACAAAAATGAACCTATTCACGAATATCCTTAAATCCTAGGGAGTAATTTCTTCTTGATACGACAATAGGACACATAAAAAAAATCGTGATGGCTATGAAGCACCACTAGATAGTACTATGCCAATTTTTCAATAAATAAATTTTCGATATAAAAAGAAAATATTTTATTAATGTGCCTAAAAGCTTGTGTTTTTTTACAGTTTTGACTACATTTTTCCATAGTTGTCAGTCGTATATAATAGAGGATTATGTAGACCTCAATTTCATGCTTTGATATTGCTCAAAATTTTTAACGTATGTCAGTGAGATACTAAAAATCAAATTTGAAAAAAAATTAATTACATAATTGCAATCTTTTCTACATGATAAAATTCCTTGATTTTTTTCTGGTGGTAAATTTGATAATGTAAAAGTTGATAGATTATTAATGAATAACATTTCAATATTAAAAATTGAGAAATTTGGTAATTTATGGTCAAGTTTGGGATGATGCATTGACAAAAGAGCGGAGTCTTCACAATAGAGCCCGCGTACGTCATAAATGTCATTGCAGTCCTTTTTCTTTTGTCAAGAAATTCTAGCTTGATCACCAATTAATTTATTAATTTGACGTTTACAGTAATGTTACCAATTGCAAAAATTTACCGGAAGATTTTTGTATTTACTCTACTCCTCTATTATACTCAAAGTGGTCTATGCTTTGGAAATTAAGTTGGCAACATTGAAATACAGAGACGGAAAACACGAAACAAACAAGTATCATATCTTCTATTTCTCTCCATTATTCAATAATATTGCCAGTTTAATTTCAAAGTCACGGGACACCTTGATCACAAATTTGGACGCTTGTCCGCTTAAAGTAATATTTTAAAAAGGGATTTTTATTAAATGGTTTTCTTCTTAAAATTTTAATACGACAAAATTTTTTTATAGGATTTTGGTTGGCAACATAGAAATCTGAAAAGGCAAACAACTTAATCCAATGACATTATCTGCATTAAATTGAATTGGGTTTACTTTTATCAACAGATTGGCATTTGCAAAATTTTAATAAATAAAAAATTCAACCGTTGATGTAATTTTTATACTGATTTTCCTTTAAACCACTCGCCATCCAGCCCATCTCCTTTGCAATCAATCCTCTTATTCCTAATTAAAACAAATTAATACAACCTGTAAAAACTTGCAACTGGTACAAAAACTGGTACTGAATAATTTCAAGCTGATGTGATGTGTTTTAATGGCTGGTAATGTTTGTTACGTAACAACGTTAAACTCATAAACGATTTCAATCATAAACCTAAATCCATATTTACCGGTCATAAATAGAACTGATACGATAAACAAAAAAACGTTTTTCAGACGCGGCATTAATATGTGCCAAAAATTTTGTTTGCCTGTAGTTACACGAAACTGCACTCGTTTGGTGCAATAAATCGATTCTCTCTCTTGTTTTTAAGACGCGAAATTTTCTTATTTTTAGCCAAGATTTTGTAAAAAAATTGAATAACATCTACCAATGGCGGCTCGTGAAAGTAGATATACAGAACGAATAATATTATTAAAGTTGTGGTCAATTCATAGTGGCCATTTAATTAATTACAAAGTTGGCAACCCCTAGCCCACCACCTCTAGTGTGTGGGTTGTGTCTATGTTGGCAGCAGAATTAACTAAATTATGTCAACAATTGTGACAGGCCCAATAGATTGTGTACAGGGTGCGCCAGAACTCGCGCCCCAGAGAAAAATTTCAAGTAAGATAAGATACCAGGAACATGAAGAAAATGTTTAAAAAATTCTCTGTCAAACAATTTTGACATTTATTTTTTGACATTTGACATTTTTTATGTCTATTTAATGATACTAATAATCTTATATACAGAAGTGCGCCAGAACTCGCGCCCCAGAGAAAATTTTCAAGTAAGGTAAGATACCAGGAACATGAAAAAAATGTTTAAAAAATTCTATCTGTCAGAAAATTTTGACATTTAGTTTTTGACATTTGACTGATGATCTCGTATATGTTTTTTTTATAATTATTTAGTAAAGAGACAGACAATTTGCCAATAAAAGCCACAAATAACATTGAACAGAGTTACAATTTAGGATACAGCTTCCTTGTTTCCTCTTTTAATAGCTTGTAGCAAAAAAACTTTGAAAATTATTTTTCCAACAGAAATAAATAGAGTTAAATTGAAAAATTTAAACTCTCACAACTTCGAAATTTTTCTAGATATTTTTTTAAACATTTTCTCCATGTTCCTGGTATCTTACCTTACATGGCATTTTTCTCGGGGCTCGAGTTCTGACGCACCCTGTATGTAAAGAATTCTAACCTGACTTTTTCAGAATTGTCATTTTTGATAGATACGCCCCTAAAAAAACAATTGGGTGTTTAAAGTTGAATTTACACAACTCAATTTTTACAAATTTACACAGAGAAGTGGCCACCATGAATTGACAGCAACTTTAATTAAACACACGACATAGTATATTACATAACGAGCACGGAAAGTGATAAATAACGCACAAGCGGGAAAGTTACGCACGAGGCGTTAGCCGAGTGCAGGCAATACCGCGAGTGCGTTAGACACTTTCCTGCAAGTTTTGTACACTATTTTTCTTACCAACATATTTTTTTTTCATAACGATTTATTTTTTATAATGGATACAAAAATACATTGAATAACGATTTATTTTTTATAATGGATACAAAAAAATACGTTAAATGAAAAAATACAAAACATTCGAGTGTGAATTGTGCGTTAGATTTCTAACACACAGTACGTAAACAAATCGCACAGGTTTTCGACCTCGTACGATATTGCCAATTTTCGCGCATATGTAATTGTGCGTTATGATCTAGTTTCGTATATGGTCGTAGGAAAAATATATTTTTTTGCAATCATCACTAAAGCATAGATTAATAACCGTCTCATCAAAACAACTAAATTAGAAAGAATCTTTCGTGTAAGCCAATTGCTTGTATCTATATCTAATATTTCAGTTTTCTCAATTTATTTTAAAAGGAAAAAAATATTTCTGGCAAAATATAAAAAATAAATAGTCATCAGTTTTTTGTAAAAAATAAATACCTGTCTATGACCAGATTTTTAAAGTGTTACTATGACGTTTCTTATTACTTCAGTCTGTCACCATAGTTACATACATACCTACATGCTTTTTAATCGTTTAGAAACTACTAAGAAAAAGGATTTGAAAGTAAAAATAAAAAAAATCGTTTTTCTTTCTTGTTTGTGTTTTTTTTTTATTAATCATTATTAAGCACTGCAACTTTTCGGTTATTTTTAGTTGGTACGCCTGTAGGAAAAGATATGTTCTGGCAGCGCGACGAGCCGCCACTGCGCTCTATGCTCTATTAAATTGGCCGCGATATGTAAATGTTACATCATTGTTCTTCATAACAATTACGCAATATCTACCTGCAATTTTATTCCTATCTCTCCATTTGTCGACAAGGTCCTGCACCAGGACATTAACACACCTGTTGGCGGTGATTTCCGTGTCACAAATCACACAAACGTCACAATTTTCCGCCAAACACCCATAACAAAACGTGTGTCCACACTCCACGGTGACGGGTCCTTTGAGCACATTCCTGCAGAGAGGGCAGGTAAAAAGCTCCACTTTCCTGCTGGCGTCCATCGCGTTGAAAAGCGCGCTTTGCAGCCTCTTCACGCACAATTTCTCCTTTTTGAGTCGGCCCTTCTTACTCCGCAGGACCCTCCTGCAGCACTTGGGCCTCCTCAGCGAGACCAGCACCTCGGGGTACCTCTGGAGGATGTCGTTGTGGTGCTGCATCGTGGCATGTAGCACGTGAAAACGTATCGATTTTCCGGCCACTTGCGCACTGAATTTTTCCGGGAAATTGCCTGAATCACTCTGATTATTTATAATTCACGAAAAGGCCGGTTGTGCAAGTGGTGGCGTTGTGTAACACACGGTCAACAATAAACAGACGCGAAAATTTGTTGTTATGTAAAAGCTCGAGCGTCATACGTTGAGCACATGGAGGCAACGGAGATGGCAACTCGCGTGCCTTCTCGCGTTCGAGGCGAAAACTGAACTGACGCGACCGAATGCACGGAGGATTAGGCGAGGGAGCTTATCAGGGGACACCTGGTGTTGGGGGTCACGTGGATGGTTATCGCGCTGACGAGAGGGATTAACGCAGTTCGAGGAACGTTTTGTTTTCCACTTTTCGAACGTTTATAAAAATAGAAACATGTTTTTCGAGAAGGAAAATGACACAGAGATGAGTCATCGGAGTGCATCCATGATTAACGAAAGTTTTTTTATTAGGGTATTGCAAATGAAATTTTTGGAGTTTTGAGTTATTCTATTTTTTTCAAAATGGCAACATATGAAAATCGCATTTTGTATACTTTTTTTTAATAGTCAAGTTAAAATAATAATAATAAAATAGGTTTCCTAAATGCACAACAAATAAAAAAAATGTGCTGAAAATGACCACCATTTTCCAAACATCTTTGACACCTTGTTTGGTCAACTGCCCACTCTGGTAGAAAGACCGATTTTCTGATTTAAATCAAAATTATCATTTATTTGTTAGTTTTGAATATTTTTTTAGTTTTGTTGTTTTATTGAAGAAATTTATAAATTTGTTTATTTATTTTTAATTATCATTATTTTTAATTGTTTATATAAAAAGTTTTTCATTTGATCACTACCCCCCCAAGTTGAACCTTCTAAATCCGCCCTTATGTATCATTATGCGACCATGCCCTAAACAACAAGAAAAATGTTTAAAAAACTTTATCGATAAAAATTTGGAAGTTATGAGAATTTAAATTTTGCAATTTGACTCTATTTATTTCTGTTGAAAAAATAATTTTCAAGTTATTTTGCTACAGGCTAGAATAGAAAGGAAACAAGGAAGCTGTATCCTATATTGTTTAGTGTCCTATATCTGTTTAGTGTTATTTGTGGCTTTTATTGGTAAAATTTTTGTACCTTTACTAAATAATTATAAAAAACATATACAAAACTATGAGAATCATTACATAGACATAAAAAATGTTAAATGTTAAAAAATAAATGTCAAATTTTTTTGATAGAAATATTTGAACATTTTTTCAGTTCTCTGTATGGGAGGATACCCAATTACTCCCTTTCAAGGAGGTGCGTGAATTCCAGACAGCCAGACCTTTTAATTCTTAGATTAAAAAAAGGTTTTGTAGTTGCCACGTAAAAAATAAAAAAATTGTGCACAATATAAAAACAAAAAGAAATTCTGAAAAATTTTATCTATATAGAACGTCACATTTTTATAGCACTGAAAGAAAATTAAACTAAAGAAAAATAAATTAAAAAAGGTAACTTAGTTTTTGATAATTTATTACCTCTTTCTTCTGTTTAAGTTTTTAGAAAAATTTAAACAAAGAAATGCATGAGCTTCAAATGCGACTTTTCTTTTTTAGTTGAATTTTGGAATGTTGTGACACACCTTTTTGTGTGTATCGCTGTTTGATGATTTAAAAAAATGGAAAATCTTGATTTGAAATAATAATGTGATAATGCTTTGTGCGATAATTTTGTAAAAATTTAACTGTAAACGCCTTTTTCTTAAAAACTACGGTGTGTCCCCGGATTAGTGAAACGACTCTTCTAAGACAAAAAAAAATCCGATTTGAATTTTCTTTTTTTGGGGTACAGCCTTGTTTGGTTAAAGACTAATCTGTAACATAATTTTAGTTTTAAAATCACGTATATTATAGACATTCTTTTGGAGTGTAAAGTGCCTCTGTATGGCAAATACGACAAAAAGTTACTAAAAAAAGTTGTTTAGAACCCGTATACCAAATTTCAAAACCATGATTTTTATATTTTCTATGTTTGTTAATTCGCAACTCAAAGAATTTTATTTTTAACAGTTTTTTTATTAAGAATAAAAAAAGTTATATGTATTTAGAATATGCATTAGTACTAAATACATTTTAGATGTTTCTGTTAATAAAAAGTTGTTATCTTGAAAAAGAACATGAAAAATCATAGTTAGTCGATGATCTTGAAATTTGTTATAGTGCCCTAACTCTAGTGTAAAAAACGGTATTTTTATTTCAATTCTATAATTTTTAATTTTTACGTTTTTTTAAAATACTGGTCAATTTCCAGTACGTACAAGAAATATTTGCCAATAACTTTAATCGAAACCATAAGCACTTTTAATTTTCCATCTTGAGGAAAAAGACTGTTGCCCTGCGGCAGAAAATCGCTGCTACTTATAGTCAAAAATAAGCAAAATTTATTTAAAAAAACACTCGTCGGTAACTTCAAAACTGCCCAGAATTTTCCAGGTTCTTTGACATCTATCGATTTCTCGGAATATTTTATTTAAGCATGGTTCAAAATATTGTCACTCTGGCTCAGAACTGACAAGAATTTACAACATGCAAATATGTGTTTCTCAAAAAATCACTTCAAACCTATACCATTTTATAGATTTTGTGACGCTTGTTTGACCTTTTTGCCTAAACTTGAAAAAATAATTTTGTGAAATCGATTTGAAACCTATGATTATAGATACTATGATTTTTTATATCATATCCTGATAATTTTGTTGTGATCGTAGTTCAAAAAAAGGCAAAAATCTACTTTTGCCAAAATTTAAATTAATCCAACTCTCACAGGAAGAATAAAAATCAGAATCTAATTTTAATTATCTATCAAACAGCAAAAACCTAGAGTCGACTTAAGTTATTATCCACGGTGATTCAAAAAAGTCAGATTTCTTATTTGGTGATAGACTTTTTTAAATAATTAAAATAGTGGTTTTCAAAATTTTATTTTATTTTTTATTTAATTTTAAGTAGATGTATGTTTTAATGTCTCTTACTAATAAAATACAAAATTACCTACCCTAATTAATAAAAAAAAAAAAATATTAAAATTGCATTTTTGTATATATATATATAAGAATATAACATTTTTGTTTGCAACTTTGAGAGTAATTTATTGATTCTAAAAACTACCCGCTTGATTGAAGGGTTCTTTTAAATCACGTTGTAAATAGTTTTGCCTAGTTTTGTTTCTCGATTTTTTTTAATAAGAAAATATAAATCAAAAATTAATGGCCCTAAGTAGAAGCGGTTTACGCAGATGAACTCTGCAAAAGATTTTACATAAAATGTTATTTTGCAAAAATTTCACAAATTTTACAAAGTAGACCCCATAAATGCTATATTGACAAAAAGCTCATAAAAATGCCATGCAATGATGCAATAAAATATAAAGTTTTGTATATAAAATAATCGTGTTATTGCCATTTGTATTTTGTCATTTTTAAAAAATCATAGTAGGCGATGGAACATCGACTCCGAGTTTGCCTTTATCTCAGAAAATGCGCTAAAGCTTACGGAATCGACTAGAAAAAAGTTGGTTGAGTTATCTTAAATAGTTTTGAAGTTATGAATTTTTTTGTGGGCCTACTCACGAAGCAATTTTGACAAATAAATTGGCGTAAGTCAAAAACTATTGCAGATAAGTCTAAAAAAACCTAGGTGCGTTATATTGACAATTTAACAACGTCTCACGCACTTTTTCAGTCCTTAGAATCTAGAAAACTCGATTAGATTTTTTACATACAGGGTGTTTCACATAATTTTACGAGGCCTACGCCTGTAAGATGCAATCAATAATACATATTCCGATACGAACTCGATTACAAATTTTGAAAAATTGAATAATCTTCTCTAGTTTGTTCACCCTTTCAAAAATTACAACGTTTTTAGTTAGTTAGTGATTAAGATAGATAATCTGGAATCATATTCATGCCGTCTTTTGATAGAACAAATGATAATTGTTTCTGAAAAACTGCAGTTTATGACTATTAATGTAACCGTGATTAGTTTGACAACTACTGCCATGGGTTTCCAAAAATTAAATAATTAAATGTGTATTTTTTGTCTCCAGTGTTCTGTTACTTTTGTATTTTTGGGTGCGTACATTAGGCGCAAGCCTCGTAAAGTTATGTGAAACATCCTGTATTTAAAATTGAATTTAAAATTGATTTTTTGCACTATTCACGTAATCGGTAAAAAAAGTTAGATATAATTGATATAACATCGGTTTTCTCCGGTTTTCTAAAACTTTATGTACTTGTCATATAAATAATATAATAATTTAAAATATCACATTTTACATTTAAAAGGTAGATACTATTTACTATTTATTTAATTAAATAATACTTGTTGCATTAATTTAGTTTGTCGTGCAAAGTTCAGAAAAATTTCTGCTTCGTAAGGATTATGTAATATAATTTACTATTTATGTATATCTACAAGATACATACATACAAAAAATATCTCACTGTTATAGTAAAATTCTTGGTATTACTAAGAGATAAAACATTTTGTAATCAATATAGATAAAAAATATTAAAAATAGCTTCATTTACGTAACCTATCAATCGGTCAATAGAATCATTAATATTTAATTAGCTAAGACTAACACGGACAAAAATAAAATTTGATAGACTTAATTTAGCTGCTAATCTTAATTAAAATTTAATTTTTATCACTCTTATGAACAAAAACACAATTAAAAAAAATTGCAATGCGTATTCATTGTCAGTAAACCTGGAAAAGATCACAAATTGTGGGAATACTTCACTCAACAAAATTAACGGTTTTATAACCGTTACATGTGTTATGTAAGAAACCAAATGTACTCTGTCATATTATAGAACTATTTAAAATCCACGTGTGGGTGTATCAGAGATCATCCAACGTTCATCATTTTTTCTTATAATTCACACCGGACACGATTTTCTCTTTCTCTCTAAATAAATTAGGAACGAAAATAGAAAATTTTTAGTACTGATAGTATAAACTAGCTGACCTTACTTCAGTTTCATACTTCAGTAACACAAATAAAGTAAGAGTGCATTAACCAGTGTGGTAACTCTTACATAACGATTAGTTCATGGTCATGACTTTTTGTCTTGTGATTATATTATACCTTCACATTACAAAATTATCTGAATTGCATTTTGAGTAGACTGCTGTATGACTGAAATGTAATTAAACGGATTGTTACATAAAGCAATGTACTATAAATAATATTTATTATGTCTACAAAGAGTACAAAGCAAAAAAAGAAAATAATAGCTTGCTGTGAGTTGAATAACTGTTTTGCTTGCTTAATAAGAAACAATTATTATTTGCCAAAGAGCTTTTTTTATTATTTTAAGATTAGCAATTATTTATTAAAAAATAATCAACATTATTTAAAGTAATATTTAATGTTTCTGGTAATAGGCAACCAACTATACATGGTTATGTAATTGCGAATAATTGTATAACTACAAATTGTACTAATTGTTAGGTTTACTGTTTTGTTGGTAAATGTGTAAACAAACACCACGGAATATGCTTTGTTTAAAACAATTTTGCATAAATAACGTTGGTAATTTTATTTTCAATGTTGGCAGCGTTGGTACTCGGTTGGTAATAATCGATATTTGTCAATTTGTCAAAAAAGCGTTCGAAGGTCCAGTGTAATGCCGGCTTTTTTCTAATCTTATAAAGGTAAGTAATTGTTGTTTTAACCAATTTTTCATGAAATGGGTCATCTAACTGTTAATTTTAATCGAACTTTAATGAAATTGCAGTAATTTAGAGACAAGACAATGGCCGACATAAAATCTTTCCTGCACCAATTCTGCCAGAAGAACAAGAAAGAGCAGCCACAGTTTGAAGTCCGCCCTACCGGTAAGCTCCCATCTTCACTAAAACAGCTTTTCTTACCGTTTTTGAAGGCCCCAAACACCGCCAGAGATTTCTCTGTGAGGTTCGAATTGACGGCTACAGCTACGTGGGGGCTGGCAATTCCACCAACAAGAAGGACGCCCAAAGTAACGCGGCCAGAGATTTTGTCAGTTTTCTTGTCAGGCAAGGTATTGTTAACTCCGCAGACGTGCCCGACTTTCAGGATGCCCCTGGCCCAGGTTTTCTTCCTTAATTCATGTTCCACCTTTCTAGCCATGTTCTTACAGCCCCAAGCAACACGCCACTCAATCAAGGGCCTGCTCCTACTGTGTTTCAACAAGGATTGGGGCCCTCGTCATTTGGTGAAGCCTACAGGCCTTTAGGACGCGATCAAGGCGATTGGCATTACATGAACAGGGCGCAAGAACAAAAAAGTCTGGAAGACGCCGAGGATTTGGACGTGAATGCCCAAATTCATGGAAATTGGACTGTGGAGAATGCAAAATCAAAGTTGCATCAATTTATGCAGAGTAATAAGATACATGCAGATTATAAGTACACGCAAGTGGGGCCAGATCATTCCAGGTTTGTTGGATTTTAGTGTGAAAAAAATTTTGTATGAGGGAATAAAATTGTGTAAACTGAGAGAGAAACAAACACTGTAGAAATAAGTAATAAAAAACAAAAAAAAAAAAAAAAATAGGAAAGCAGAAGTTCAATGCACAGAATATATTGTTTAGTTTATTGTTTATTCTAATCGTGTTCAAAAGTTTGTTCTTTCTCTCAACCGTTTTCAGTTGAGAAAGTTATTCAATCTTCAACTGGAAAAAATTGAAAAGTGTAGAGAAAGTATTTAATTTTCTCCACAACTATGGAGAAAATTAAATAATAATGATAGTAATAAAAATAATTACAAACAAAAGTATTATTTAAGATTAGAAAAATTATAGTATTAAATTAATGAGAAATGATGAATTACGAGTATTCGACTTATATCGTAAATTTCATCTTCGTGGAAAAGACCCATCTTTCTCAGTCATTGATTAATATACCATTCACCAAAATGGTATATTAATCTGGTCTTGGAAAATTTGACATTTCTGTCTGAATGATAATTACGAGTATTTGAACGGTGGAATGACTTCAAAATATTTAATGTAAAATAAATGAAAACAGTAAGTTATATTTAAAATTTTTCCTCATAAAATTTAGTTTTTTTTTACTTCAAATATGGGATTATAGTAGATAACAGAGTTACTTATTTTATTGTTATATATCTAAAAATGAGTGACTTTGTTTTCAATATTATTTCAAACGATTAAACTTATGAATCTTCTCTATTTTCTCTTAAATACTGGGTGTTTTATAAACAGACCAAAAACACAAATGCCAAATAAAATAAGATGCCACAATCATGAAAAAAATGTTATGAGAGTTTAAATTTTGCACTTTGACTATTTATTTCTGTTGCAAAAATAATTTTACATGTTCTTTTGCTACAGACTGTTAGAAGAGGAAACAAAAAAGCTGTATCCTGAGTTGTAACTATATTTAACGTTATTTGTAGCTTTTATTGACAAAGTTTTTGTACCTTTACTGAATACTTATGAAAAAACATATACAAGATCATCAGTATCATTAAATGGACGTAAAAAAATGTCAAATGTCAAAAAATAAATGTCAAAATTTTTTGACAGTTAGAATTTTTTGAACATTTTTTTCATGTTCCTGATATCTTACCTTACTTTAAAATTTTCTCTGGGGCGCGATTTCTGGCGCACCCTGTATACAACACAATATTATCTTCTTTAATAATAAGGGATTTTTAAGGTATTGGATATTTATAATCTTTTAAACATTTTTTTAATGTTCCTGGTATCTTATCTTACTTACTTTTTTTGGTCTATTTTCAAAACACCCTGTATGTATTTGTATGAGAGAGAATATAAAGATACGAAAGGCAAAGAGAAAGATAGAGAGAACCAGGTACAGTAGAAAAAAAAAATTGAGTACTGATAGAAAAGCAGAACCAAGTACAGTGGATAGAATTATTTTGTTTATTTTTTTATTCATTCACGATTTTCTTTCTGGTCTTGGAAATTCGACATTTCTGCTAGAAGGATATTGGAAATGATTTTTTTTTGTTACACAATGGAATGATTTCAAAATTTTATTTTTAATAAAAAATTAATAAAAACAGGCAGTTTATTGGTAAAATAAGTTTTTTTTTAAATTTTTTATGTGAAAAATGTGGTTAATACCAGAGTTACTTTTTTATTAATTGTCCTTTAATTAAAAAATGAGTAACTTTGCTGTCAATACTGCCTCAAAAGTTTTAGTTTTATTTATGAATCTTCTGTTTTATTTCTTGCAGAAGTTTCTTAAATAATTTTGCACTGGAGCTGCTTGTAACTTTACTGTGGAACAAGCCAAATATTTTACTGTTCTTGGTTCTGTTTTTTATCTAGGTACATCGAAACAAAATAAAAACTCTACGTTTTCTACTTGTAAGTATACTTGAAATCTCCCATTTTCCAAATCTAATCTCCTTTTTACTTAGGACTTTTGTGGCCGAAATGAGCTTCTATGTGAAACAACTCGGTCGAACAATAACCGGCCGCGATTCCGGCTCCAACAAACAAACTGCGAGCAAAAGTTGCGCCCTTTCTATCGTCCGCCAACTCTTCCATCTCGGTGTGATCGAAGCCTTTTCCGGAACGTTGAAAAAGGAGAAGAGTGGCAGCGAAATGAAACCTTTCGATGTACAAATCTCTCCCGATTTACAAAAACAAATCAAAGATTGCCTCAACACTTTGAATATCAGTCCGGTAGAAGTCAAATTGGAGGCCGCAAGTCAACCGGTGTCGCTTGTAAGCAACCACATTTTGGACGACTTTCAAGCGTCTAAACCGGTGGCGGCGGGGGTGGTGCCGTGGTCGCCCCCACAACAGAATTGGAACCCTTGGACTGGGTGCAATATCGACGAGGGGCCCTTAGCCAACGCCAATTTGGACCAGTTGAGCGAGCATTTCGCCGAGGAGTGCAAACAAAAGTTGAATCATGATGCAGATTTGAAAGCTAGCGTGGGAGAAAGGCAAGAGTTGCCGGTTTTTGCCATGAAGGCGAAGATTATGGAGGCGATTAATGATAATCCAGTTATTATAATTAAGGGGAATACCGGGTGCGGTAAGTGGGATTACAAAGAACGTTCTGTATATTACTTTTGTGTATTGTTGTAGGTAAGACTACGCAGGTGTGTCAGTATATACTCGAGGATTATATCATGTCGGGTCAGGGTGCGTGGTGTAATATTTGTATAACACAGCCTCGAAGAATTTCGGCCGTTTCCGTCTCCGAGCGTGTAGCCAATGAGCGTTGTGAACCGTTAGGACAGTCGGTGGGATATTCGGTTCGGTTCGAATCGGTTCTTCCTCGACCTTACGGCTCGATCATGTTCTGTACGGTTGGGGTGCTTTTGAAGAAATTGGAAAATGGGCTTAGAGGAGTTAGTCATGTGATCGTTGATGAGATACACGAAAGGGACGTCAACAGTGACTTCATTATGGTAATAACACTGATAATTTTTTACCAAATATTATTAGATGTAACGCCTATGGATGTACCAATATGAAGCGCGTCGGCATGGTAACCTAGTACTTAGAGGCGGCTACGGAGAACTAGAGTTCCTATATTAGAAGAGTTGGGACACTGAATGTCAGTTTTCTAATTTTTCTTTTATATACGTCGGCTGCGGTATAATAACAATAAAATGGGATACAAATCAGTGGCGTTTTGGTAAAATTTCACATAAAGTCAGATAAATTTGTCAAATAAAAATTGACCTCAGTCCTTGGTCATTCTGACCAATTCTGCTGTGTCCTATTGTGTTAATACATAAAGAAACTGTGAGCAGTTTTTTGTGCCATCTTGCCCCAACGCTCGAGACAGTGTAAGACGAGTGGAACCTTTTTAAAACTCGCCAAATGGAGAGTGGGTCCCAAAAGTAAGATTTATCAAAAACGAAGGTGAAGCTTTTAACAAGATCAAGGACTTATTATTCGGTTGTTTGGAGTATTTTATTTTATCGGGTCAGGTCTAATTTTGTAAGTTTCAGGTTTTAAAAGGTTTTCTGGAGACACTATCAAGTTTTTGTTACTCATGGTAAATGCTGCATGCAGCAATTGTTTTATTTTAGTGTGTACTTTTTGTTCACATAGTTTTTTCCTGTCTGGCCGCATCTCAATGTCGATTTATCTCCTACGTCCCTGACTAAATCTGACGTAAAATTATGTCAATTTGTCAATGGGACAAAATTTATAACTTTAAAATAATTTTCGAAATAAACTTGACATTAGTTGCTACGAAAAATTTTAATGAAAAAGGAGAGAACCTTATCCACATAATACAAAATTGGCTCGGTTTGAGGTTCAGTGTCCCAACTCTTCTAATATAGGAACTCTACGGAGAACTACACACTAGGAGACGAAACGAGATACAAAATTGCTTGATTTTCTGTACCCAAAAAAAGTAGTACGGCGGAGTAATAATGAGGTCGCTTAGATAGAGCGTTTTACCGTCTCAGTTTCAAATAGTTTTTAATTAATTTAAATTGAACCACTTCACTAATTGTTTGGAAAAAAATGTGAAACTGTTGAGATTTATATTCCTAATAAGCTGTCAAAAACAAACGACTAAATTTTTTACGAGAAATATGAGAAAAAAAATATTTAAAATTTAAAATCTGTGCTCCCCTTCATGTTTTTCAAAATGCTGCGAATACGGTTAAAGATACAAGAAAAATGTAAGAAAGAAAGTTGTAGAAAATAAAATTTTCTAGTAAAAAGCTCCCGACACCATACCTCTATCTTTAATGGTTTAGGCCTCAAAGACGTTAAAAACCGCTCAAGCTACGGATTCGTTGCATTTTTACTGGCGATTCAGTGTCCGAGGAACATTTTAAAGCAATTTAAACCTAAACCGTTTAAAATAGACATACGGTGTCGCGGACTTTTTTGTAGCAAATTTTATTCTTTACAATTTTGTTTCTTACACTTTTTTGTATCTTTAACCATATTCACAGCGTTCTTAATAATATTGCGCAAACTGATAATTGTTTATAATTTATTTTTAATACAGTTTTCGATATTTTTAAGAACGCTGCGAATACGGTTGAAGATACAAAAAAAGTGTAGGGAACAAAGTTGTAGAGAATTAAATTTTCTATAAAAAGTCCACGAGACTATTTCTCTATCTTCAACCGTTTAGGTTTAAATTAATTTTCTGTCTTTTGACCACCGGTAAAAATGATCCGATTTCGTCGCTTGAGCGTCTTTGAACGCCTTTAGGACCTAAACCATTGAAGATAGAGGCATCATCTCGTGGACTTTTTTCTTGGAAATTATTTCAGCATTTTCAAAAATATGAGACGAGGCACAAATTGCTAACTGTTTGAATTTTTTTTTAAATATAGTTTTCAATAAAATTTTTGCATTGCCTTTATCTCTTATTATTAAGAATAGAATGCTCTATCTGTCTATATTTTTTTATTTGCGTTTTGCTCACCGTTATGTAAATACAGCTACTTTTTATTTCATTGCTCTTAAAACTTAAACGGGAAAGGAACAACTGCGCTATCTGGCCTCGCTAATGGAACTATCGAGAACGGGGACGTTTTGTTATACATCGTGTCGTATCCTAGTCTTTAGGTATCCGTAGAAGCGGCACATTTAATCATTTGAAATAATTCCAGGTGGTTTTAAGAGACATGATCCACACTTATCCGGATTTGCGCGTAATCCTGATGTCGGCAACCATCGACACGAGTTTATTTTCAAAATATTTCAACAATTGTCCGGTGGTGGAGATTACTGGGCGGACTTATCCGGTCCAGCAGTATTTCCTGGAGGATTGCATTGAACTCACTGGATTCGTGCCTCCCACTGAAACCCGGAAACGTAAAGCCGGAGGTGGCGATGACGACGAAAGTGCGATTGGTGATGATGGCGACGAAAACATGAACAAAATAATCGATCCGAAATTTAGTAATCAAACTAAAAACGCGATGGCTCGAATGAGCGAACGGGAAGTTAGTTTTGAACTGATGGAAGCCCTGCTAAAGTACATTAAGTCACAGGAAATTCCCGGAGCAGTTTTAGTTTTTCTTCCGGGTTGGAATTTGATATTTGCGATGATGCGTCACTTGCAACAACATCCGCTGTTTGGCGGGGCTGCGTACAAAGTTCTGCCTCTGCATTCGCAGATTCCGCGAGAGGATCAAAGGAGGGTGTTTGAGCCGGTGCCTTCGCATGTCACTAAGGTTATCCTAGCGACGAATATCGCTGAGACTTCGATCACGATCAATGATGTGGTCTTTGTGATTGATAGTTGCAAGGCGAAGATCAAATTGTTCACATCGCATAATAACATGACGAGTTATGCGACCGTTTGGGCCTCCAAGACGAATTTGGAGCAGAGGAAGGGGCGCGCGGGGAGAGTGAGACCTGGTTTTTGCTTCCATCTGTGCTCGAAGGCGCGATTCGACAAATTAGACGAACATATGACACCGGAAATGTTCCGGACGCCATTACACGAGTTGGCTTTGAGTATAAAATTGTTGAAATTGGGGTCTATTGGGCATTTCCTTAGCAAAGCTATTGAACCACCTCCACTTGATGCTGTGATCGAAGCTGAAGTATGCAATTATTCACACATTTTTAATTGTTTTTAAAATTAATTTTTTAAGGTTTTATTGCGAGAAATGAAATGTTTGGACACCAATGATGAGCTTACTCCTCTCGGCCGCATCATTGCCAAACTTCCGATCGAACCACGATTGGGAAAAATGATGGTTTTGGGTTGCATTTTCATGTGTGGGGGCCCTTTGGCAACAATGGCCGCCAATTCGTCAACATTCCCCGAAATTTTCACCCTCGACATGGGCCAGAGACGTCTGAGTCACCACCAAAAGGCCCTGGCCGGCGACAGGTGCTCCGACCACGTTGCCATGTTGACGGCTTTCGAGGTAAATACTTGGCTTAGCTTTGCTCGATGGGACGCTACTGGATAATGTCAACCAATGAGAAACGTGTTGCCATAGAAACATATCCGTATCCTTGGTAACTAAAGTTTTATGCCAGAGGCGTACCCACTTCTTAAAAAAATATAACTTTGTAAAATAGAAATTAAAACAAGTTTGGTTTTAGTTGTGGGACCAAGCTCGCGCTGGGGGCGAAGAAGCCGAACAAAGATTCTGCGAGTACAAAGGCATAAGTATGGCGACTATGCGTGTCACGTGGGAGGCTAAACACCAATTGCAACAAATCCTCAATTCTGTGGGTTTCCCAGAAGAGACTTTGGCCCCGATTCCCATGGAGACGATCGGACCTGATCCGAAATTGGACGTTGTGATGGCATTGATGTGTTACGGTCTTTATCCCAACGTTTGTTATCACAAAGAGAAACGAAAAGTTTTGACAACTGAGAGCAAAGCAGCTTTGATACATAAAACTTCAGTCAATTGTAGTAACTTTGAACAGACATTCCCGTACCCATTCTTCGTTTTTGGGGAGAAAATACGAACGAGGGCTGTGTCGTGCAAACAAATGAGTATGGTGACGCCGATTCATTTGTTATTGTTTGGGTCCCGAAAGATTGATTGGGTAAAAAAAATGATTTTTTTTGTGGTTTTATTTATTTTTGAATTAGGTTGATGGTGTTGTACGACTCGACAATTGGATAAATCTAAATATGGATCCACAAGTGGCGGCCCATATCGTCGCTTTGAGGCCCGCTCTGGAAAGTTTGGTTGTCCGAGCGTCACAAGAGCCGGAACAAATTCTCGAAATGTCTCCAGGAGACCTCAAAGTAAATTTTCATAATTTTTGTCACAATTTTTTGACTCTTGTATTGCAGTTCGTGGCCACTATTAAAGAATTGTGCAAATTGCATGCTGGGAGTTACCAAATCGAGAGGGCTAAACCTCAACTGCAACAATCGAGACGTCCTCCACGAGGGCATTCTTTAGGTTTTCAAGGACCTCCACCTAAATTTTTCAGAGGGGGGTCTAGAGGAGGCTTCGGCGATAATAGAGGAGGCTTCCGTGGGGGTTTTGATGGGAGTCCAGGCCGTGGGTTTGGGCCGAATCGAGGGTTTGGCGGAAGAGGGGGCTTTAGAGGTAGAGGCGGATTTCCAGGCCGTGGTTTTAGAGGCGGGTTCAATAATGGATACAATAATTACTAAGTGTATTGTTAGGAATAAGTGTCTAGAATTATTTATGTATTTTGAAAATAAATTATAAATCAAAAATTATTGTTATTTAATCTTATTATTGCTGTGAGTCGTCTGTGAAAAAGTTAAAAGTTTTGATAGTTCGAACGTGACATAATTTGTTGTTTTATTTGGTTTCAATTTTTATTGAATGAAGTAAATGATTAATTAATTAAGTAATGATTAATTGTAATGTGTTCAGTTTTAGGAGAGTGAATTTATTTTTGCCGGCGATTACGTCTAAGGTCGTGTTATAATTTTGTAATTTTATCTATTTACAAAAAAGTGATCCACGATCTGTTGGCAATCCTGACTCTAATTTTTAAAGGTTACCATTAGAGTACACTTTTGATTAACGACAATTCAACAATCTTGAGGGGTTGTACCTCAACCAACGGACACAGTTTTTCTGGATCACTTCGTATAATGGTTTTTGAAATATTGTAACAATGAGTTGTAGATTTTTTTCTAATCAATTTACAGGGTGATTTAAAATAAAACGGCAGGCGCTGTAGAATTTTTATTTATGGTCCGATTTCAAAAGTTAAAAAAATAATTAAATGGCTTTTAATACAGTATGATTTTAGAATTTTTCTAAATGTTATAGTACTATGGCGAGCATTTTGGTAGGTAATGTCATTTTGAAACTTCATTTTTTGGTCAAAAAAAAGTAAATTCCCTGTGTAATTTTGACAAAAGGACAAAAGGGTATATTGGGGAATGACACTGACTACTAAAATTTCATGCTGGCCATGTACACTTTGGGTTGTATTTAACTTTCCAATTTTAAATTGGAATCTCTATTTTTTTCTCCATAATTTGGAAGTTAAGTATTTAGTTTTCTTGGTTTTACTAAAAATTATTGTTTAAAAAATTTAGCAAAGTTGAAAAAAAATAAATGAAAGTTAACAAAATCTAGTTGCATGGTGTTAAATAAGACAATAATGTCTTGACATTATTCTACAAGAAGCAGCAAATGAAAGAATATATTGCCAATATTTTTCAAATTTTTAATAAGAAATGACAATAATAATTGCATACAACAAATCAGAAAAACATCTAATTTAGTGTTATTAATTTATTTTATTGTTATTTATTTATTTTGTTTACTTTTAATAAGATTAATGTTAACGTCAATTGTTTTATTGACACCATGCAGCTAGATTTTTTGAAGTTTTTTTTTTTCAACTTTAAACGAAGCCTGAAATATACTATGACATTTAGAAAAATTCTAAATTTGTCACCTTATGGCTTTATATCATATTATAAGCCTTTTAATTTATTTTTTTAATTTTTGAAATCGGGTCATAAATAAAAAATTCTATAGCACTGCCGTTTTATAAAAAATCATCCTGTATACTATAAGCTACAAGTAATTTCCTTATCAATGAAGATTATCACAACTCAAGCGAAAAGATCTGTTGTCAGTGCAAAAGTGGCTCAATAAAATGGCAAACGTTGCGCTTGAAACTGAGATAAAATCGTGGCTGACACCAGTCTTTCTAAAAGAAAATGTAACTGTTTTTTTCGTGAAAATTCTGGCAAATCTGGAAATAGGCAACGGTTACATGGGCGACATTGTTTTCGTGGAAGTGAACACATCTGGGAAGCAATTCAATCTAGTCCTCAAATGTAGCAACCGCTCAAAAGACCTTCGTGAAGATTCTCCGGTGAAAAGTTATTTTTTGAATGAGATTTTCATGTATGAAAAGCTTCAGCCGACTTTTCTCCAATTCCAAAAAGACCACAACTGTGAAAAACTTTTCGTTGCGTATCCAAAATGTTACGGTTCGTTTATCGGTGATGATATAGAAGTGATAATTTTGGAAAATTTGGAGAAAAATGGGTATGAATTGTGGCCGAAAAAGGAGCCTTTGTCGAGGAAATTGATCGATTTGGTGGTCACAGAGTATGGGAAATATCACGCAATTTCCGTAGCCATGAGGGAAAAACCGCCGGAAAAATTTCAGGAATTAGCTGAAACTACTATTGATGTTTGTAAAGAGTTTTATAAAGTGGAAACGTTTTAAGAAATATACTCTGCAACCATTGAAGATTCGTATCATTTGCTCAAAGGAGAAATTGACGAGAAAATTCTCGAAAAGTAGAGGAATTTCCAAAATGATGTTTTACTTATTTTGAAGAATTTAGAATAAGGTTTTGAAGGATTGAAAGTGATTTTACATGGAGATTGTTGGAGTAATAATTGCATGTACTTGTTTGAAGTAAGTTTTGTTGATTAATTAATTAATTTTAATTATGTTTATTTGAAGGATGGTGATCACGATCGGCCGTTGAAAGTTGCAATCATCGATTGGCAAACCGCAAGATACACATCACCAATCTTGGATTTATCTTATTTCCTATTTTCTTGTGTTTCAGAGACGGATTTTAAAAATTTGGAGGATATTTTAACCACTTACTTTGTTTCTTTTACAAGACATTTGAAGAGTTTAGGGATTAGAGAACCAGAGTTGTTATATCCAAAAAATGAATTTCTCAAAGATTGGAAAAGATTTTGCAAATATGGAGTTTTGCTGAGCACACGATTGATGAAAATTATTTCGACTGATAAGGACGAAGTTGTCGATAATTGGGAAAACGCCGACAAAGAGAAAAGCATCACAGAATCTTATTTCCTAAATGAAATCAGAAATGAAGATAATTTTAAGAAGCGTATGAGACCGATTATAGAACACGTTGTTAAAAATAATTTGATTTAGTTGTCCATATTGCAGAAATGAGATTAGAGATGACAATTTTAAAAATCGGATGAAAAAAATAATAGGATTCGTTCTCAAACATGATTTAAATTAATTGAAAAAATAAAAAAAAGTAATTATTTTTTAATAATAAATTGTGTTCATGGGCTGGAAGGTATCTAATTTGTTTCTTGTATCCCTCCACATTCCCAATCTCTTCTTCAAAATAATGTGCTCTTCCCCAAATCCACGATATTTTTTTCTTAACACATAACGAAGTTCTTGTAGCCCTATGTGCCAATTTGTTACAATTTTTCCAATCGTTTGGAAATTGTTCACGTGGATATACAAATTTTTGAGAATCAAACTAAACTTTTTCAAGTAATTTGAAAATTTTTAATCTTCCTCTGAAATACAACTAAAGAGGAAAAAACAAGATAAATTATTGGTGTTTTATATGATGCTATCTGCCAATCGATGATTATCCCAACTTTTGACGGAACATTGCTACTATTATCCTGAAAAACATTCATGTAAACCAAAAAGTAAAAAATGAGAAAATACGTACCTGCGTTATACAGGTGTTTCAGAACTTGCGTCCCAGAGAAAAATGCGATGTAAGGGACATAATTTTTTTAACATTTTTTCTACGTCCCTGGTATTTTATCTTACTCGAAATTTTTCTCTCCGGCGCGAGATCTGAAACATCTTGTATACAGAGTGATTTTAGGGTACATAGGTAATATTTACTAGAGTTCTTTGGATTAATCCCTTTTTAAGATACCTACCTGTTACAACTTTCCAATTTTAGTTCCAATTTAGTCCCTTAGTAGGTAGTAGTGTTCGTGTCGTTTGTGTTCTTTCCGCTTTTTTCTTTTTGTTATAAAATCAGTTCTTTTCAGAACTCGGTTTTCCTCTGTATTGTGCAAAGTAAGTTCACACTTTTTTGTAACTATTTTCAATATGAAATAAATTATTTTAACGTTATTATACAGTGCGATCAAAAAGTCTTTCTATCAAGTACGCGTCCTAGTTGAGGACGTATGTTGCATGGCAGTTCGTATGTTATCTAGATTGTCAAAAAATTATTTTATAAAAATTAAAACATTGAGCTAATTAAATTGAATTATTCTATGAAACGTCTCAAAACAAAATAAAATAAGATTTTGTTGGTGTTTATTCATAAAAATCGTTCACCACGGTTTCCTGTCATAATTTACATAAAAAATATTTTGACATTTCTCATGTGTCATTGTGACATTTTATCTTCCACAGACATACGTTTTAAATTTCTACGCTTGCTTGATAGACAGACTTTTTGATCGTACTGTAGATAATACTTTTGTATTAATGCATTTTGCATGCAATACAGAATACATCAAACATTGGAGTTAAAGGCAAGGTCCTTCAAACTCAAATACGGGAATTAATTGCCAATGTTATGAAAGATATAATCTTCTATATAACTTATTTACTTTATTTAATTCAGAATTTTTACAAACAAAAGTAAAAATTCCCTTACATCAACCGTGAACGACTATACGCCACTGGTTCCAAGCTAAGCTTATGGTTCTTGTATTACGAATGTTTACGGTTTTTGAGATACACTGGGTTTTATTCGTCAAATAAATTAAAATTTGATTTCATGGAATATCTAATCTATAAAAGACATAAAAATACAGAAAATAAATTATAAGCTCTGTTTAAATTTGCCGCTTTTCACAAGAAGTTCTTTAAATGGCGCTTTTTGAAGGTAAACAATAAAGTCCCTAAATTTAATAAATCTAGGGACTTTAGTAAACAAAGACAATCTCTGTTCTGTGCTTCTATCCCACTCTTGCTCGTTTACTTTCGACGTCCCATAAAAGTGTTTAAAAGATGATTTTGTAAGCAAAAATCGGTAAATAAGTCCTTGAAAAATACTGAAAAATGGTTATTTCAGTAGTTAGTGGAAAATGGAGGTTGCGGACGAAACCAGGGAGGTCCCCATAACCGTCCTTAGGCCCAAAACAAAGGCTCTAATATGCGACCTATTGAACCCCCAGATGTTTATCCCAGCCCCCAATGGAGTGCTCCGGTGAGTAGCCTTTTAGTCTAGTAACAGTGTGTTGATAAAAGTTTACTTAGATATTGGAGAGGTTTGGCAGGGCTGTGCCAGATTAGTTCAAATTATGAAGCAACCCTTGTCAATGATCCAAATCCAACAAATAAAGTATTAAATCTGTGGTATGAAAAAGACCCCCAACATAGTACTATACAACAATTGTTGTTATTTTTAGAAGAGATGGACCGGTTTGATGTTGAGGATGATATCTTGAGCTTGATTGGTAAAATTTTCGTCTTTATTAATTTATGTGAGTTTCCAAGTTGTTTTGTAGATGAAGATATCAATATTTATAGAACGAATCCCCAAGGATACGAATTGAAGCCTCTCTATTCTGAAGCTGATAAATATATAATCACAACAGATGACGTGATAAGGATTAATGAAGGGCGAGAATTGGAGATATACGATGCGTTTTTATTGTATGACCATGATGACATTGAATTTGCCATAGAATTGTTGGATAGAATGGAAAAAGAATATAAAATGAAATTCTGCGTCAAAGACCGCGATTTGGTGGGTGGTGGCTTAGAAATGGACAAAATGATTAAACTGATAACAGAACGTTGTAACCGTTTAGTTGTCATCCTTTCAGATTCATTTTTTAAAAGCTCAGCCAATGGCTATTATTTAAGTTTTGCCCACGCCTATGGAATTGGTAAAATTCAAGCCAGTGAAATATTTTTAATCATTTTTTTTTTTCACACAGAGAGTCAACGGAAAATAATCCCGTGCATTTACAAAGATCTCACAACAAATCCTCCACATATGAAATGCCTCTTCACTTTGGACTTTCGCCGAGCGACTATTTTCAACGTATGGGACAGATTACGCGACTCTATTAAAGTACCCTGTACAGAAAAATTTAAAGTTAATAGGTATCACATACAAGGTTTTTTCTCCCTTTTTTTAACAATAAATTTAGGTCCCAATCAGACAATGGTCAAGTCTTGAGATCCGCCTTTCACCAGAGAGAGCCAATTGGGCTAAGACCTTTACATCACAGCGTGAGATTTAGTAGTAGTGTAGGTGATTTGAAAAATTCAGAGGCTATTAGTGAACCAGCGCTTAATCCCAGTACGAGTGCAGATAATCTGGAGTCGTGTCCAGAGCACAAAAAAGAAAAAAAAAATAATTTGTTGAAGAAAATTAAAGGACATTTTAAGAGAGATAAAGATTGTTCCAAGGCGGAAAAAGAAAGTAAAGGCTTGAAAAAACATTTGAAGAGGGCCACAGCCGTTGCGAACTGATGCATTTTATTTTATTTAACAAAATATGTAAATATTTTGTAAGTGCAATTATTTTTAATATATATTATTCAGTAAAGGCTGAGTTTTTTTGAGGTTGGTTAAGTTTCTGAGAATTTTTTCCTTGCAAGACTTTGTTAAGGTGTGTTATGATGTAAATGTTTGCAATAAAAATGAAAACATGTAATGATTTCCATTTTTTGTGTATTTGAACATGTTTTTGATTGTGTAAATGGGCATTTCTCTGTAAACTGGACAACTCGTCTCAAGCCGATATAATATAAAAAGTATAGGTTATTATTTATTTCGTAGTTAACTTCAAAAGATAATTATCTAATATATCTATGCTCAGCGTGCAGTATCCCTTTAAATTAATTTTATTATATCAAAAACGTTTTTATAATGATCAAAAAACAGTCCCCTGTCTTGTCACCTATACAATACAGTTGGTTCAAGTTAAATTAATTAAAACAATAACTTCAAGAACCAATCAAATTATTTGATTAATTGAACAATATTACATGATTGTTAATGGGACTTGCTTATTTTTTATTAATATTTGTTTATAAATTTAAAATATTAAATTAAAGTTTGTCTCAGCTCTGACAGCTGACAGTCCTCTGGTAAGAATTATTTTCATTTCTTTTAAGCTATTTTATTTACATGTTAGAAAATTTATCTTGTTATAATAGATAAATATTAGTTATGTACAGCAAATTAACATAACTTAATTATATTTTGAGCTACCTTCTAATGAAATCAATTTAAACAGTCCCCTGGCAAACAGTCTCCTGCACCATAACGGGACAGGGGACTGTTTACGATTGCAGGGGACTGTTTCTATATATGTTTGTTATTGTTTTAGATATTGTTTGACCATGGCACTAAGAAAAAAAAAACTCTCTAAAGAAGAGATTTTACAAAAAAAAAGAGAAAATGAGCTAAAGAGAAATGAACGCAACAAAAACGATCCGCAAAAAAGGGAAACACTTAGGGAGAAAGAACGTCTTAAATATCTTAAAAAAAAAGAAAAGGGCACTAGGAAGCTTGTTACTCCACGAGAACACCGAGAAGCAAAAAAGAAGAGGAGAGAGTACTGCAAAAAGTACCGCAATGAGAAAAAAGTATTAAGAAATGTAACAAACTCGCAATTATCAATTCAACTAGCAATACCTGAAGTTGTTAAATCAATTCGAAAAAAAAAATAATAGAGAAAAGATGTTGAGATATAAAATTAAAAAGAAAAAAGATGAAGAAATTAAAGACCTGAAGAAAAAAGTATTGAAATACAAGAAACGCATGTCGAGATTAAAGAATAATGAAAATGCTAAGCCTAAAGAAACTCATATATTGAAAACAAGGTTACAGAAAATGGCAGATACTCCAGAATCTAGGAAAGATCTAGTTAAAAAGGCACTATTTGGTGAGGTATTAAAGAATCAATTAAAAAAGAATTTTTCCGAGATGAAAACAATAAAAGAAAAAAAGACTTTTAACCAAAGTAATAACGGCAAAGCATGTTGATAAGTATAAGTTATGGCGAATGAATGACACAGGGGTGATAATTTATAAGAAAGTGAAAAATGCAAAAAAAATCTCGTGGACTGGTTAGAAAAAACAAAGTTTCAAATGAATGTGCTAGAGCTGTTGTGGATTTTTATGAGGATGATTCTAACAGTAGACTAGGTGCAGGAAAGAAAGAATTTATTACTAGAAAACAAGTACGGAAACAAAAACGATACAGATGAAGAAGACGACGAAATTCGTGTCACATTTCTAAAGCTCTCCGATAATAAAGGTCAAACATTTAGATTCGATCAAGAGGATGTAGCAGATATAACAATGGTTCAAGTGATAAAAAAACTCCCTAATCCAAATATACTTTTAAAACGGAATAGATTATTCTTCAAATTTTATTCACCGGGAAATACCCCTTGATTCTATTTTTTCTTTAACTTTATTTATGTGATAACTACTTTTCTTTAATTACAATAACTGGTTCAATTCTAAAAATAAAAAAGATTATGCTACTAAAACACTGCTTTTCATTTCAATATTTTCTAAGATAATGAAAATATTAATGGTTTATCTGCTGTTTATTATTAACCAGGTAGATACCTATTTTCTTAGTAAGATTTTTTTAATATATAAGAACCAAAGTGGTATAGACATTTTCTTAGACCGAGTTGTCCAGTTTACAGAGAAGCGCCCAAATATTTTTTAAAGTAATTTTAGTCTAAACAGTTTGGGGATTTTCGTTTTGTCCCGATCCGTTCTAATGTCGCTACTGCGCAAAATATGATTTGGCAACAAAGCAAAAATGACAGAATCGCAAGTTCGTGCTCCAAGATTTTAGTCTCATAAATAGTGGGTGTAAGAAAAAATCGCACACATTTTTAGCCCTAGAGACCCCATAATGTGCATCACATCGTAAAAGCATCACCACGAAATGTTCCTTTTAGTGACAATGTGCAATTCTTGATCGTGTCCAAAAGTAGGTTGAGTAGTTAGAAAATAATGGATTTAGCAGACTCCGGGGGTGGTCTCGGCCCTGAGACCATCTACGGCACCCACGAAGACTCCCATGTGGTAATGTCCGAAAAGGTTCAGTCTTTGGCTGGTAGCATTTACCAGGAATTTGAACGAATGATCGCACGATACGACGAAGATGTTGTCAAGACTCTAATGCCCCTGCTTGTGAACGTACTCGAATGTTTGGATGCGGCGTATCAACAAAATCAGGTAATTTAACAAAATTTTGAATGAAAAATTCTGATTCTTTAAGTGCAGGAACACGATGTCGAGTTGGAGCTCCTTCGGGAGGACAACGAGCAGCTTGTGACCCAATACGAGCGCGAAAAGGGGGCCCGTAAAGCCGCAGAACAGAAATTACTAGAGTTCGAAGATGCTGCTGAGGGGGAACGCAAGGAATTAGCGGCGAGACTCGAAGCTCTTGAAAGTATTGTCAGAATGCTGGAATTGAAACACAAGAACTCAATGGAGCACGCGGGGCGTTTGGAGGAGCGCGAGGGGGAACTCAAGAAAGAATATGCCAAACTGCACGAACGCTACACTGAACTTTTCAAGACCCATATGGACTACATGGAGCGGACAAAATTGCTCCTTTCGGGCCAACAACTCGCCAATGATAGGGCTGAAGCAGGCCGGTTGAACTCGAATCGGATCAACATAGGGCGCAGTTCCGGCCCCATTTCCTTCGGGTTTACCTCCTTGGAGAACGCCGAAGTCGTGGATAGCGTCCCTTCATCTCCCATCAGTAGTACTCATTCCTCGCCGAGTTTGCACAGCGAGTTGGATAATTTGGATAAGAAGTTGGTGGAAAGGGGGCAAGAGACCGATTCATTGAATTTGGAGAATAAGAGTGTGATAACGTCGCCGATGAGTCCCCCGGGACAACAAACGACAAATAATAATACAGGGAGATTGAAAAAAGAACAGAGGAGTGGGAATACGTTGTATCAGGAGTTGAGTTTTCAGGTTGGTATGAATTGAAAGAGCACTTTCTTTTGTCTTGGGTCATTGCACAGCGGGTCAAAGAGCGTGGCGATTATCGGGCGTTGAGATGTCGCTAGAAGAATGGAATTTTGTTTGCTTTGATGATTTATCTCACCTTGAAAAAAAATTATATGACCTGTAAATACGATCTGCACTCACTTTTAGAGTATTTTTATACAAATATTTATGTTAAATATTGATAGTTATAACGTGTTTGGAAAAATGTGAAAAAAACAAAAGATAAATTGAGGTTTTTTCTTCAATTATCGGGTGTTGGAATTATAAAAAAAACTGATTTATTAAAATGTTACGAAAAATATGTTGTAATATCTTTTTTATTAATTTTTATAGGATGTTGATGGCGATGATGACGGGGACATTACAGGAGGTTGGGTACATCCAGGAGAATACGCTTCGTCAGGTAAGCATTCTATACAGAGTGATTCAAAAAATTGCATGAAAGTTTTTACTGTACTTTTGTCTCAGCTCATATTCTTTTTTTGGGCGTTTTTTGTGAAGGATGAATACCTTTAACAAAAATATATATGTCGTAGTCATTGGGCCTAATACGTCATTCCGCGGAAAGCCTAGTCTTTGGCCGTACTGCCGGCAGACGCTGTAATCAAATGAATATTTCTTTGTTTGACTGAAATTTTTCGTCATTTCAGGGATTGCCCACTTAATTTTACTCAAACAAAGTAACCGGTTAAACCAGTACATGTTACAGCGTTTGACGGAAGTGTATTTAGTCATTTGCTGAAAAGGGTTGAAATGTTTGATTGACATTGAGAAATGTAAATTTTTGGTAGAAGAAAAGCCAAAAAACTAAAATATTTTTATTGTAGCAAAATATTTGTTTCGTTTATTTGGAATAATGTAAACATATACAGGGTGTTTCACACAACTTTACGAGGCTTGCGCCTAATGTACGCACCCAAATATACAAAAGTCACAAAACACTAGATACAAAAAATACACATTTAATTATTTATTCTTTAGAATACCATGACACTAGTTGTCAAACTAATCACTGTTTCATTAAATGTCATAAACTGCAGTTTTTCAGAAACAATTATCATTTGTTCTATCAAGAGACGGCATGAATATGATTCTAGTTTATCTATCTTAATCACCAACTAACTAAAAATGTTGTAATTTTTGAAAGGGTGAACAAACTAGAGAAGACTATGCAATTTTTTTATCGAGTTGGTATCGGAATATGTATTATTGATTGCATCTTACAGGCGCAGGCCTCGTAAAATTATGTGAAACACCCTGTATATTATAAATATACATTATTATTATTATAAAATCATACAAAAAACGGTAAGTAGGTACATGACTAAACAACAGATAAAAATATATTTTTTTGCCTTCAGGTAAATTAAAAAAAATATATATTCTTTAGAAATATCTTTTGCAGCCTAAAATATGTACAACTGAAATAAAGGTGTATTTTGAGGTTAGAAGTCTTTTACCTCCTTCATTACTTCATAATTCCACGGTTTTTTGGCATCTTTGTTTTTCAAATAATATTCATTTAATTTGTCATAAAAGAAACTCTTATGATTATCCATTTTCAATAAGAAAAGTCCAACAATTACTAAATGTTACGGCCTGAAATACTACACAATAAAATTTAAAATTTCAAGCTTTCAGCAAATGACTAAATACACTTCCGTCAAACGCTGTAACATGTATTGGTTTAACCGGTTACTTTGTTTGACTAAACTTAAGTAGGCAATCCCCGAAATGACGTAAAATTTCAGTCAAACAAAGGAATATTCATTTGATTACAGCGTCTGCCGGCAGTGGCCAAAGACTAGGCTTTCCGCGGAATGACGCATTACGCCCAYTGACTACGACATATATATATATAGATTTGGTTGAAATGTTGCACCTTGCATATGTTAAAGAAAGAAAGAAAATTTGATAAAGCAAAACATATTTTACCACTCTTCAAATTTTTACGTTTTTATTATAATTAAGTATAAAAATGCTAAAAGATTTTATGTCAAAGCATGTTTTTTGAAAATTTTCCAAAAAAATTTGACAACGCCGCAACCGAAGTCTAAAAACAAAACAAGGTTTTAAACTTGGTTTTAAAATACTGGGAAAAATAATAAGAACATGCAACAAACATGTAAGTTGTCATTTGAAAAAAAAATGTTTACGGATTCGGAATAATGAAACTCCCTATATGTATATGCATTTCAAAATAATTTTAGATCCAATAGATTATTTCCATAATAATTTTTTTCCCACATTAGACGGCTATGGAACTTAAGTAGCCAATAGGATTCGAGCGACACTTATAGTCCTTAGACGGGCCTGAGTTTGTTTTTAAGAAGTACCATATTGTGTTTCATTTTTCATCATTATTTTTTGTATTTTTTTTAGAAACATTAGTATGCTGTACAAATAAATAAGATAAGTAAAATAAAAAGCTTTTAAGTTTGAAAAGTTTGATAGTAAATTATGCATACCCTGTGGTAATTCGGATCAACCAAGCTTGGTCAACAAGACTGTTAAACTTTATTTAATCAGTGCCTAGTATTTATTTTATAAAGAAAGCACTTTCTGTATTTTTTATTAAATTTTAAAAGAAAAGGTGTAAAACCATTTTTTTTGGTTTTCATTTGTCTTTACAGAAATGCCTGAACCAATTTGAAGAAAAAAATTGGGATATGTAAATAAATAAAAATAATAATCCTTTTCTCGCCTGGGCATTTTTGAGTTATTTTTTTCGTACAGTGCTTAGTTTACAAACGATTGGTTCCATACTTTTTATTCACCTGGTATATGTCGTAGTCATTGGGCGTAATGCGTCATGCCGCGGAAAGCCTAGTCTTTGGCCGTACTGCCGGCAGACGCTGTAATCAAATGAATATTTTTTTGTTTGACTGAAATTTTACGTCATTTCAGGGATTGCCCACTTAATTTTACTCAAACAAAGTAACCGGTTAAACCAATACATGTTACAGCGTTTGACGGAAGTGTATTTAGTCATTTGCTGAAAGGTCTTGAAATGTTTGATACTTTCTGTAGAAATGTAAATTTTTGGTAGAAGAAAAGAAAAGCCAAAAAACTAAAATATTTTTATTGTAGCAAAATATTTGTTTCGTTTACTTGGAATAATGTAAACATATAATATTATAAAATCACACAAAAAACGTTAAGTACATGACCTAAACAACAGATAAAAATATATTTTTTGCCTTCAGGTAAATTAAACAAAAATAAAAATATATTCTTTAGAAATCTTTTGCAGCCTAAAATATGTACAACTGAAATAAAGGTGTATTTTGAGGTTAGAAGTCTTTTACCTCCTTCATTACTTCATAATTTCACGGTTTTTTGGCATCTTTGTTTTTCAAATAATATTCATTTAATTTGTCATAAAACAAACTCTTATGATTATCCATTTTCCAACAATTACTAAATGTTACTACACAAAAATTTCAAGCTTTCAGCAAATGACTAAATACACTTTCGTCAAACGCTGTAACATGTAATGGTTTAACCTGTTACTTTGTTTGACGAGAATTATTTAGGCAATCCCTGAAATGACGTAAAATTTTAGTCAAATAAAGGAATGTTCATTTGATTACAGCGTCTGCCGGCAGTACGGCCAAAGACTAGGCTTTCCGCGGAATGACGCATTACGCCCAATGACTACGACATATACAACATTTATACCAAAATAGGCAAAACAGATTCTTTGTATATTTTATAGTTTTAATGACAGGAGTTAAAAAAAAGAGTTTTCGAGTTTTCGGACAAGTTTTCTTTAATTTTCTGCAGTTTTTTTTGGCAAAATCAGGCATTCTGAGCGACTTGGAATATCTAAAGACAATAGCTTTTGGCTCATTGACGCCAAAATCATTACAAATTGTCAAATTTGTAAATATTTCTTTTGGGCGAAAACATTATCAATTAAATATTTTTGTCTGACAATTACATACAGGGTGCACCAGAACTCGCGCCCCAGAGAAAAAAATTAAGTAAGATAAGATACCAGGAACATGAAAAAATTCTCTGTCAAATTTTTTTGACATTTATACAATTTAGGATACAACTTCTTTGTTTCCTCTTGTAATAGACTGTACCTAAAAAACTTGGAAAATTAATTTTCCAACAGAAATGAATAGAGTCAAAGTGCAAACTTTGTATACACCCTGTATACATATTATTATAAAAATGAAACTGAAATATTTCTTGTAATGAAAGTTTCGTGGCCGAAAAAGGCCAAATCTTTTGGTTTGTATTTATTATGTAAAATTTTTTTGGAAATCGAATGAAGTCAAAGCCTTGTTGAGTCTAATTCGAAGAATAAAATGTTGTATTCAACTCGTCTTCATGTAAATCGGTTCATTTATTCCACCTCGTGGATGATAAACCACTTGTTAACACTCGTTTAAAAATCCACTCGTGAATAAAGCGTCCGATTTACACTCAAACTCGTCAAAATAACTATTGTTTTTTTTAATGGAAAAAAACAAGTCAAAATTTTGGTGAAAAAATAGGTAGCAGTATATCTCTAGAGCTACAACTTTTGTTTATTTTTTGTTTTTGTTCCTTGAAATTTTGTTAAAAAGTTATGGTTATGTTTGTAAGTCAAAATTTTGACTTTTATGAATCTTGTGTGCCTGGTTGTTCTTTGAAAGCGTTATAATCGAATACCGGAGGATATACATCACTACCTAATGTCTAAAGAATTCAGTGCTAAAAATATTGATAGAAACAAGTAAGATATATAAATATTGATAGCAAGTAAGTAAGTACAATTTTATGAGCAAAAATGCTTACTACAAAAATTTTAATAAAAAAGAGGTATTTTGTAAAAGATACAAAGAGGCATTATGAAGATTGGCAATAAATTTTGTGTAATTTATCAAAATGAGCTCAAAGTTGATGAAAATTATAATAATAAGCAGACCGCTATTACAAATTGCGTGTAAGTTTTAACGGTGGTCTTCTGCTTGCAGATTTTACACAGACAGATAGTTTTGATTAATAATCTGTTTTTTGCTAGAGTAAAATCTTCCAATAAGAATCAGTATCTTTATTTTTATTTAAATTTTGTAAATTTTGAGTCATCTGTATTGTTGATGGGTTCATTTCACAAGACAACATATTGCAGATAAATCAATCTTGAGTAATCACCGAAAAACTAAAAAATAAAAATAGTCTTTGATAGTTGGGACAAAAGAACAGACTTTAAATCGCATTTTCAGTATTTTTCAACAATCTCGATAGTTGTCATAATCTGACACTTACGTGAAATCAGTTTTGCATGTTTTTTGTAATTTTTGCATTGCTTTGTGATGTTTAACCACAATACTAACAATTTTTTGTTTCATTAACTTTCCTATGGCCAGTCAACGATAATTTTTATGGTAAGCTTATTTTCATTTAACTTTAACTATTTCATCAAATATTTTTTTATTACTTTGCTTATAAACTAAAATAAATTAATTTTCTTAACAGGAATGGGCAAAGAAGTCGAAAATTTGATAATGGAAAACAACGAGTTGCTAGCGACCAAGTAAGTATTTCAATTTTTCCAAAAACAAGCTTGTCAATAGTTACGTATTAGAAACGCCCTAAACGTAGTCAAAGACGATCTCATCGTAAAAGTCGACGAATTGACTGGCGAAATCGAAATGCTCCGTGAGGAAATCCTCTCGTTAAATCTCTCCCGAACGAAACTCCGCGAAAGGATCAGCGATCTCGAAGAAGAGCTGCGAAAGGTCAAAGAAGCGAACGAGGCGAAACAGGAGGGAGCTGATGACGAATCCGATGTACCAATGGCTCAAAGGAAGCGTTTCACGAGGGTGGAGATGGCTAGAGTCCTCATGGAGCGCAACCAATACAAAGTGAGTCGTATACAGGGTGTTCCGTCTAAACCCCACATTAAAATTATTGGGAGTTCGAATAATCAAGATGGAGGCACTTCCGGTTATACCGAAAGTCGGTCTCAACTTTTTTATTTTAAATGGAAAGCTATATTTTTTACTGCGTTTTTTGATTAATCGGGTTATTTTAAGGGAGTTTTCATCAGCTTTCCCTATACCCAAATTTAGCCTTTTTTTAAATATTTGGAGTTTTTCAAAAATTTTTGAATCTGTACCTCCCTATTTAAAAATCGGTAACTCTATTTTTTTTAATTTTGAATTCGTTTTTTTTTGGCGTTTGAAAGAGAAAGTTTAGATCTTTCTTCCGATGTTTTAAAATTTTGAAAAAAAAATTAACAAACCATAAAATTTTAAGGTTACTTTTGTAATAATTCAAATACCCATAACTCAAATTTTCCAAATGAAATACCCCAATTTTTATTTTACTAAATGGAAGAGAATTTAATTCTGCATCGATCTGTATTAACATTCCCTATACCTAAATTTAACAATTTTCAAGTTATGGTGACTTTTTGTTAAGACTGCCGAAAATCTATTACTAGCCACATCCGTTGCGTACAGTTTGCTATGGAAATCAAAAATGTCAAAATTGTTTCTCAATAAATGTCGCCAGTGATTATTTATTTGACAAATAGTGCCAAAATATAGAGAGTCAAAGTTACTAAAACTTAGATTTAATTAATTTATTTTGTATTTATAGAGAGTGTAACAAAATTATGATGTCGTTCATTAAACAAAAATAAATTTTTCTCACTTGTTAGTTTTAAATAATGGTCGCTTGGTAGAATTTATCAATAATAATTAAGTTTGCATAACTTTGATTCTTCATATTTTGGCACTATTTGTCAAATAGTAATTTACTGTTGACGTTTGTTTAGAGAAAATTTTGACATTTTTGATTTCCATAGCAAACTATGTGAAAACGGGTGTGGCTAGTAATAAATTTTCTATAGTTTTAAAAAAAAGTCCATAACTTGAATATTATTAAATTTAGGTATAGGAATTGTTAATACAGATCAATGCACAATTAAATTCTCTTCTATTTAGTAATATAAAAATTGGGATATTCCATTTGAAAAAATTTAGTTATGAGTATTTGAATTGTTACAAAAGTAACCTTAAAATTTTGATATGTTTTTTTTTTCAAAATTTTAAAACACCAGAAAAAGTATCTAAGCTTTCTCTTTCAAACGCCAAAAAAAAAACGAATTCAAAATCTTAAAAAATGGCAGAGTTACCGATTTTTAAAGTGGAAGGTGCAGATCCAAACATTTTTGAAAAACTCCAAATATTTCAAAAACGGCTAAATTTAAGCATAGGGAAAGCTGATGCAAACTCCCTTAAAATAACACGATTAATCCAAAAACTCAGTAAAAAATATACCTTTCCATTTAAAATAAGAAAGTTGAGACCGACTTTCGGTATAACCGAAAGTGCCGCCATCTTGAAAATATTTTCATTTAAAAAACTTAATGGTTTATGGCTATGTACCAATTTTCAAATAAATACGATTATTCTAACTCCCAATATTTCTAATGTGGGGTTTAGAACATCCTGTATAACGAGTATACTCGTTTTGATTTCGATTTTTTTCTAATGTGATATGTAGGAGCGTTTCATGGAATTGCAAGAAGCCGTCCGTTGGACCGAAATGATCCGAGCGTCGCGCAATGACACCGCTTTTGACAAGAAGAGCAAACAGAGTATTTGGAGATTTTTCAGTAACTTGTTCAGCGGCTCGGACCGGCCGCAGAGGCCTTTAGTGGGGCCGCATCTGCGATACCAGACTGCAACCAATCAAATTGCGCCAGGTGTAAGAGCGCTGCCTCGACCCGGACATGATTTCGTCGAAACCGAATTGGGTACGGAAGTGTGATTATTTTTTACAAACTATTTGTACCTGCTGTCAGTCTGTGATATGTTAGAATTAGATTTGAGTTTCTTTTTTCTCGAGTATTTCGTATCCGGATTAAAAGTCGAAATTATGTTTGTGTTTCCTTGGGTTGGTAATCCTGGCTTTTGGTGCGTTGGAGTGCATGAGTTTTTAACCCTTGTAATGAAACACGGAATGTTCAATAATTTTTTATCCATTTATTAAATAATCCAAAGTTACGGTAACTAATCTAGTCTTACTCAAATATGTTACCACAATTGTTACGTTTGTTACAAATACATTTTAATTATTTCCTTTTCGTGTTTTATTTTTATTTTCTCTCTTTATTTATGTAAATATAGCCTGTCGTAGTGCAAGTGTACATAATGTGACAGTAGATACAAATAGTAAGTACCTCTGAAGGTTCAAAATTCTAGTTTAATTAAAAAAAAATTACAGGTTCGGAAAAATTGGCGTTGAGGAGGGCTGTGGAGCGTAGAGAGCAGTACCGTCAAGTGAGAGCGCATGTGAGAAAGGAGGATGGGAGATTGCAAGCGTACGGTTGGAGTTTGCCCGGAAAAGTGGGTCCGGGAACGAAAGGAACACAGAGTAGTTCTGGAGTTCCGGTCCCGGTTCCGGTGTATTGCCGGCCGTTGGCCGAAACCACTCCGGGGATGAAAATATGGTGCGCGGCGGGGGTTAATCTTATGGGGGGTTATACCAAAGACGGGGGGCTTATGGTAAGTTTGTACAATTAGGAAAAATCGTGAAACCGTGGTTTCTTTTAAATTTTGACATTTAAAAAGAAAGGCTTTATACATACAGGGTGAACAAAAAGTATGGAACTAACAGGTTTTTTTCCATATTTACTTTTCGTAAAAAACTTATCTAGTGCTCTTATTATATAAATTTAATTTTTTTCGACAAAAATTTTAAATATTATACAGATTGTTACAAGAAGATGGAGACAAAGAGTAACCTGATATTCCCCAAGTCAAAATAAAACGATCTAACCCAACTTACCTTTATACCAAGTTGCACCGTTTGAAAGATAGAGGGCGTCAAAGTTAAAAAATTATTTTCGTTTTTCTTTAATAACCTTTTAATGGATTAATAAGAGATTTTTATGCAAACTGGTAGCGACAATTTGATATCAAAACCACATGTTTTAGTGTTATTTCTTTCATTTTATTTTTATTGTAAAGTATTTAATATTAACAACATGACACATTTTAAGCCATATTTTTGTTATACGTAATCCGAGTAGGGTCATTTTTTTTATTCGAAAGGTAGATTATTTTTAAATCTTATAACATTTTGTATCGGCCTTGGTTTTAATGTAAAAAAAATATTTATGTCGATATGTGTTAAAATGTTTGCCATTTATTATTATTATTTTTAAAATTATATTTAAAAATGTTTAGGTTTTAGTGTCTTTACGTGTGTTTGTGTTAGTTAATAATAATGTAATGAATTATTAATTTTAACAAAAAAATCATAAATTCATTGGCGTCCTCTAACTTTTTTTTAAACGGTGCAACTTAGTGTAGTGGTAAGTTGAGTTAAATCGCTTTATTTTGGGAAATCTCAGGTCACTCTTTGTGCCCATCTTTGCATTACACCCTGTACATTTCTTAAATTGTCATCAAAAAAAAATATGTTACAAAAAATAATAATAAATTTGTCTAAAACGATCACGTTTTTATAGTATCATTCCACATTTATTTTTTTAATTATTAATAAATTATGTACAAAAAAATTCAGCTTGTTCGGACAACAGGAACTGTCTCAAATTTGACTCGGAAAATTTCGTGCAGACAGACAAAAATGAATTATTTTCACACTGAAGTTTGTTCACCGAGAAACTAAAAAAACACAATAGATTTTGACAAAAGAAAATAGAAAATTGCAAATTTACATCTGTAAATGCGTTATTTAGCATTTTTTTCCACAGTGACACCTATTGCAATTTAAAAAAAAAATTGCCAAAATAAGGTAAAAATTTTCAAAATTTTATCTAAAATGTATTGTTTATGAATTTAGAAAAAAAATTTGTTTGAGAAAATCATAAAATACGAAAAAAATCTTCACAATACTGTAATCTAAGTTCTGATATGCTTTATTTCCGTTTATTTTGATAGATTTAGAACGTTTTTCTCTGAAGAGATTTCGTTAAAACAACAAAGTGGCAAATTGCAAAATTAAAATGGGTTGTTTTCGCATGTTTTTAAAAACCTTTATTTTTGAGCATTTAGGAGTGTTTTTCTGAGAAATTCATAAAAAAAAACGAAATATTTAACTAAAACTAAGCAGAAAGTTACAGAATTGATTTTGAAATGCATTATTTTGGCTTATTTATAGCGTATTAAATTTGAAAAAGCACAAACTAAAAAGTGTTTATATTTCAATTGTATAGCTTCTAAAATAAAAAAGAATTCGCTAAACAGCTTAATTAAAAGCTGAAATAAAATTTTTTGTGATCATATCACTAACATTGGTCAGCATCATTTTCGATGTTTGAAATATTTTTACCTTTTTTTGTATAATATTTTGTGGGCTGAATTAAAAATGAAAACTATTTTTGCGTATCACGTCGAGTTTTTTGATAATGTCAAAAATAAAAGCCAATTACGTTACATTTTAATATATTTTATATATATTTTTTTGCATTCATTTCAAATAAGAGATGGAGAAAAGATACTAAAGAGGTTGAAACATAAACATATGTCTACTACAGTTGGATGTTAAAAAGAGACTCCGCTAACGATGAAAAAAGAACATCTACAAATGATGATAATATGCAAGATTTTTGATTTTTATTTTTTCTTAATAGAATTATTACTTTTATTTTGTACTCAATGTTAAAGAGTGCTTTTATCGACTAATTTCAGCAGATAAAGTAGGCTTTTATCGTCTAGTTACGATCTACTGTTTATAATTTTATCAACTACTTTCAGTAGATAAAGTAGTCTTTTATCGTCTAGTGAAATAAAGTAATTTTTATCTACTGTTTATATTTAAGAAATTCTGGTAGGTGAGTACAAAATAAAACGAAATTAATATACACGACGATAAAGATAGTTTATTTACTCGTGAAAAAAGTTCACTCGTGACTTCGTCACTAGTAAACTTAACCTTTTCACTCGTAGATAAACAATTTCTTTATCGTCTTAAATAACTATTTGTAAGGGTTTATAATGTTGAAATAATAAAAAAAAGATAATTTGTTAGAAAAATTATATTTCTTGAATTGTTAAAAATGTAATGTGAGTCAAAATTCTGTCCAGTGTAATTAATTGTAGATTTGTCGTAATTGTTTGAATTGTTGAAAATGTGTTTTTCCAGGTTGGAGGTAGCGTTTTCTACTCTGAAGAGCCTCGTTTGGAGCAGCCCCACACCGAGTTGGAGAGTTTGGATCAGGAGTTGGCTGCGAGTCGCGAGGGGGCGCTCCTCGAGACAAAACTATCGTCTCTCGTCTGGATTTGTACATATACGCACGCCGCTAGTATAGTAACCGTTATAGATGCGAATAATCCGGCGGAAATTCTGAATAGTTTTGGGGTATGTGCAAATCATGTCTTATGCATTGCGAGTGTACCTGGTGCTAGTCCGAACGATTATAAAAAAACGTATACCAAAATTAACGTTAGTGAGAATGTAAAAGACAGTGATAATGTAGAAAGTAAAGAAGCAGAAGGCCAGATTGTCGAAAATGCCAAAACGAATGATAAGAATCACGAGGAGGTGGAAGAGGCGGCTTTGGTAAGTGATTTAGAAGAGAAAAATTCGTATTGAAATGTGATTGGTTTAATTTGCAGATTGGGAAAGTTACCTTTGTTGAAAACGACACGTCGGTGGTTAATAAAAAAGACAAGTATACGAAAGCAAAGTGTGAATCGGGGGAAGAGAAGAATGAAGATAATTGTGAAGAGGAAAAAGTCGAAAATCATCCCGATGAAAATCAAACTGAGAATGCTGAAACAGATGAGAGTAAAACTAGTAATCAGGAAATAATGTCAAGTGTTTTGGCAACGATGTGGTTAGGGGCGGAAAATGGGATGGTTTATGTTCATTCGTCGGTGGCGAATTGGAATCAGTGCCTGCATTCAGTCAAACTTAAAGATGCAGTGATAAGCATTGTGTAAGTTTTAACGTTGGTACCACTAGCAAAGTGTGAAAGTCATAAAAGAAAGGTTTGCTAAGTATGTTTTAATTTGTTGTAAAAAATAGTCGTCATTTGAGCAAAGGGCTGAAAAAAATACAATTTTTATAATAAACTGCAAAATATTTAAAACTTGCATCAACTTCAAATTTATTTCTGCTAAATTATTGTTAAAAAAAATTACTTTTTCTAACTATATTCACATCCTTAGCTCATTTCATAGAATTTCATGGAAATAAGCTGCTACCAATCTTTTCATCAAAATTTTGGCTTCATAATTTATATTTTAAAAAACAATACTTTTTTAATACAAATGTGCAAAGGAAAGGAAAGTCGTGTGATGTTTTAGGCACAATTTGTTTTTAATGAAGTTAACACAATTTTGATATAAAGTAAATGCGACGCTTATCACATAAAAGACTGAAGTGATCACGTTAATAATTTCCTCTTTATTTCGGCCACAAAAAACATACTTGAGGCATGTAGTCTGGGTGTTAGTTTAATTTTTAAAACCTTGAAAAGACAAACTTTGTATAGAAAAAAAAAATCTTGACAAACACGCTCAGGTTGTCATTATACAGATTGAGTAAATTTTGACTTTATATAAAAACCTAATAATTACAAAAAAAAATGTTTTTTTCTATGCGCATGTGAATTTTTCAGATTTTTCAACTATTCCTTATAATAAATATTAATTCGGTGAAAAAAATTGTTATTTGTATCACAAGCATTTGCAAAATAGTTTCTGGCCGTGTGATACAGACTGTTTTTTCGTCAGCCCAATTAAATTGCCCTCAAAAGATAAAAAAAATCAAATTTTGCGCTAGAGACGTTACATGTATTTAGTTTGGCAACACAATGTCCAAATTAAACTCCAAATTTAAATATTATTCTATTGAATAATAGAATTTGATGTATTCATCAAATATTTACTGTGAAATCAAGCCGTTTGTCATTTAACAAATGTCAACCACAGATGTTAACAGATAATCAATATTGCCCACATTTATAAATAGTAAATTTTTTGATGGCCTAGGTCGTCAATGGGGCTGTTTCTGGACGATTTTGGCTAATGCAAAATCAACGTTTCTGGTCGGAGGATCCAAAAATAATTTGTTCTATTTCTAATGTCATTCTAAAATGTTCAGGGTGTTAAAAAAAGATTGTAAAATATTTAAGTAGGTAATAGTGTGGACCAAAATAAACAACAAAAAAGTCGTAATAAACATGGAACTGCAAAGTAGTGGTTTCGGAGATATCGAATGTGAAATTTTTACTAGAAGCTTCTCTTTTTTGTTTGAACAGATTGCAAATAAATGTTAATCTCTCATCTGTTACTTTGCATATTAAGACTTTTTGATTTGTTTTGGTCCATACTATTACCTCCTTAAATATTTTGTAATCTTTTTTTAACACCCTGTATTATTCTAAAAAGTTCTTTTGTGAAAAAGAAGATGTGAAAAAAATGTGAATAGTCACAAAAAATAATTAAGAGACATTTTGTGCAGTATTTCCATGTTGAACATTTCTTAATCCTTAAACTGGTTTATCGCATCCCCACTTTTAGTGAATAATGACCCGTTTTCATGAATTTAAGAAGTGTCAGTCAATAATTCATAAAAATAATGAATGTTGAAAAGAAATCTTTTTGCAAGAATTACTTATTAGTGTTTAAGCTAAAAAAAACTCTCAATTTGTTTTTATTTATTTGTAGATTTGTATTTCCTGTAAAAATATTAAGAAATGTTGGAAGAAATTTTTATTTTCGAATAAAGCACAAATCATGTGCTCACGAGGACATTACGAGTAATTCGAATATTTACTGTAATTATTGTAAATTGTAAATAATTCGTTGATTGAAAATACTGTAGCTGTATAGTTATGTTGGTGAAACCGAGTCTGTGAGAGTACGTGTTACCAAAACACGAATTCACACCTTTTATGAATTAAAAAAAATTTCGCCACCATGGTAACGTAACCAATTTTATTTTTTAGTCCGGAAAAACTGTTTTTCTATTTTAGAATAAAAATGACGTCATTTGAGTGCTTTAATAAGTCGTTGGCGTTAATTTAATTTTAGTGACGTACTTTCTTCACAATTCATTTTCAAATGTAAAAATAAGAATTATTTTTATTTTTCACAGCCACCTAAAATTATTCCACATAACTCTCGCCAATCGTCGTAAAATTCTCTAGAAAAAAATTGTTATTTGTTATTGATTTAGTGGAAATAAATTCATTGATTGTAATATTCAAAATATTTTTTTTATGTAAGATCAATATGTAATTGGAACTTTTACTAAATCAAAATTAAAAATAATTTAGCAAATCTGAAAAAAAAATCACATGCGCAGAGAAAAATACAGTTTTTTACTGCGGTAACGGTAACGCTGATTTTTGTGTGACTAGTTTGTGATATAAAGTTAAAATATACTCTCCCTGTAATTGTGATAAAAAAATGTTCTTCTCTTCACAAGTTATACAAAAATTAGGTCAAAATTCTTCGAAGATCGGTAATTTTGAAAACTTTGTTTTAGACATATAAATGGTCGTGTCGTGTGTGCATTGGCCTGTGGCACTTTGGCAATTTTCGCTCGGAACGACGACGGGGAATGGGACCTTTCCCGTTACCATCTGGTACAAGTGGGTTTGCCTCATCAGTCCGTTCGATGTTTAGCTGTTGTCGGAGATAAGGTCTGGTGCGGATATAGGAATAAAATACATGTGCTCGAACCGCAAGAAATGGGAATAATTCATACGTTGGAAGCGCATCCGAGACGCGAAAGTCCCGTAATTGAAATCTGGATTTGTGACTAAATAATTGCTGATTTTTTTTTAATTTGTAGGTGCGACAAATTGCGTGGTTGGGTGAAGGTGTTTGGGTTTCGATTCGTTTAGACTCGACTTTAAGACTGTATCATGCTCACACCTACCAGCATTTGCAGGATGTGGATATTGAGCCGTATGTCAGCAAGATGTTGGGTGAGTATGGGAAGAGTACAATTGCGAACACGGAATTTTGGACATCAAATTTATGTCAATGTAAGCCAAGCTATTGCCATTTGAAAGTTTTAGTTGAAATTTATTTTTGGCGTCGATTTTCCGAAACAATAATGCCAGCAGTGCGTGTTTAGTTCAATAAATAATTTTGGTTTATTTTAATTTTTTTCTCTAGCTATCAGGATAAAAATTTCAAAAACCGAAAGTGAGGTTGGTTGCACATAAGGCCTGTTTTACACTTTGATCTTAATTGAATGACAAATCGTCCAAAATTCCGTATCCATATTTTAAATCTTGCTAATTTTAAATCTTGTTTAATATTGGAAATCTTGGTAAAATCTTATGAAAAATTTTAAGGTCTGTAAATTACAATTAAAAATTTGATGTTTTTTTATTGAAAATTAATTCAGTAAGTGTTTGTGTTTTTCTAACTGTCTGGAACCCCCAGATGTACAAAAACATTTGTACCGATTTGGAAGTTTCGATTTGTGCGATTTTAGTGAATTTCAGGAGTAAATAAATTTCATACAGGGTTATTCACGAGAGGGTTATTTCTGAAACTTTTTTTGCCGCAACCAACAATACCAATATCGCTAACTGCTAAATTAAACACAGGGTGTTTCACGTAATTTTACGAGGCTTGCACCTGTAAGATGCAATCAATAATACATATTCCGATACGAACTCGATTACAAATTTTGAAAAATTGGATAATCTTCTCTAGTTTGTTAACCCTTTCAAAAATTACAATGTTTTTAGCACGGCTTCCTTGATTAATGAAGGAAGTTTCCCTTCACCCGGCTGGTCGCATTAAAAAAAAAAGTGGTTCTAACAGCGTACTCTAATGTATCGCCATCTGTTAATTTCTTCCGAAAACTTTTCTTGTTACCATAGTTACCAAAATCACGCGCCAAACGTCGTAATTATTTGAAATTTAAGTTAGAAATTGGATTTCTCTGTGGATATTTGTTAAGAAAAGTTGAGGAGACTGTAAAATGTACTGCTTGTCTAGTACCCTTAACCAATTATTTTGAGTCAAAAACAAGTCCCCTCTTGGAATTAATTTATAATCAAGACAGAGGAAAGCTCAAATATTCATCTGAAAATTTTACTGCGTTAATTCATTGTCATAGGAGTGATTTTGGAAATAATACCCAGTGTGCCTACGCAAGATGTAGACTACATTTTGAAAACAATAATTGTTTCATATTTAAATGAAAATCCCATATTCTCCTGCGAGGAACATCGCAGTGTCTGCGGCATTATCGTTGGCAAATTTTTGCAATCTCTACACACAAAGTACTAGGAAAAAAAGTTATATTTATTCAAAAAAACTAAAAATTTTGACAGTAAATTACATTTTCAAATTTGTACAAAATGCGTTTACTTCTTTATCTTATAACCCCCCTACGGGCCTAAAAGACCTTGAACGTATTGGTTGTGCACTGTATTCTAACAAGCTGTTGCACTCTTGCAGGTTTAGTCACTTATAATTGTCAGGGATTTAATACGGCACAATACACATTACTCTAGTTTACCAAATAGCCACATATCAGGAAATTGTTTACTTTTCGAAAAAATCATTAGTGTGAGATTGTGACGTGCGTATTTAATTCCTAATGGCATTATACACAAGCGAAATGTGGCCAAATTACGTTTTTATAAATGTACTAACGCCTTTTTGCTTTCCACTGACAGGAGTGTGACAGCACATAACCTTATTAACTGTCAAAATCTTGTACCTTAATGTGGCTCCCTCTCGAAACCAAAAAAAAGGCACGGAACTAATGAATGCGACTAGCCGGGTGAAGGGAAACTTCCTTCATTAATCAAGGAAGCCGTGGTTTTTAGTTAGTTAGTGATTAAGATAAATGAACTAGCTTCATACTCATGCCGTCTCTTGATAAAACAAATGATAATTGTTTCTGAAAAACTGCAGTTTATGACTATTAATGAGACAGTGATTAGTTTGACAACTACTGTCATGGGTTTCCAAAAGTTAAATAATTAAATGTGTATTTTTTGTATCCAGTGTTTTGTGACTTTTGTGTATTTGGGTGCGTACATTAGGCGCAAGCCTCGTAAAGTTATGTGAAACACCCTGTATGTTATTTCTTATAAATTAGAAAACAAAGTAAGTTGGATAGATTTGCCAGAAATGTCAAATTGACAGATAACCTATATTTTTACAAAATTCTACAAATAAATAAAAAAGTTAAATTAATGTAAAAGGTGTTTGAAGTGTCAACCATCGGCTTCTAAACATAAGACTAGTCGGTTGGTAAACGGTAACAAAACATGTCGCAGTTTGAAAGAGACGAATTTTTGCCTTAATGTCAAAGAGACAAGACTAATAACAGATATCGTGGATTCAGTTATAATTATTTTCAAAATTTGAAATCAAGAAATTGTTGCAATATGTATAATGGGTTGCGGCAACAAAAAAACAGAATAACCTTCTCATGAATAACCCTGTATTAATAACTTCGGAAATATCAACTGTAACCCCTAATTTTTCAATTCCCTGTTTTATGAAAATAAATATGGTTGCTTTGTGATGCATAGTTACCAAGAAAGTCAGTGAAATAGGCGAAAATACTAATATGCAAAATTTATATCCGATATTTTTCGATTTTTTTGACGCCAATCGATGTAACGGTATTTCTTGTTCTTATCTTCTTCTTCTTACCTTGACAAACAAAATTCAGATCTTGATTGTAAAGTTAAGATATAACCAAATTTGAGATAAGAAAAGAATCTCCAGAAACCAGAAACGGTGTTAGTTCTTTAGCAGGAAGATATACAGGGCGTTTCACGTAATTTTACGAGGCCTGCGCCTGTAAGATGCAATCAATAATACATATTCCGATACGAACTCGATTACAAATTTTGAAAAATTGGATAGTCTTCTCTAGTTTGTTCACCCTTTAAAAAATTACAACGTTTTTAGTTAGTTAGTGATTAAGATAGATAAACTACAATCATATTCATGCCGTCTCTTGATAGAACAAATGATAGTTGTTTTTGAAAAACTGCAGTTTATGACTATTAATGAAGCAGTGATTAATTTGACAACTACTGTCATGGGTTTCCAAAAATTAAATAATTAGATGTGTATTTTTTGAATCCAGTGTTCTGTGACTTTTGTATATTTGGGTGCGTACATTAGGCGCAAGCCTCGTAAAGTTATGTGAAACACCCTGTATCAATCCCGTGATAAATTTACTAATTTAACTAATTGTTAGAAAGGTAATGAATGTTCTTAACAACCTTGAGAATAACTGATTTTCACAAGTATTAAAAAAAACAAAGCTATGGTCTTTAAAATATTGAAAATTAACCTCTATGAATGAATAAGATAAAAATTTAAAAAAAATGTTCGTGAAGTCTAATATTAAGTAATTTTTTTTTCACTGAAGTACTGGACTTTGATATTAAGTTTTTTCTTCAACATCTCGATGAAGAATTAAGATCATTTTTGAAAATCATCAACGGATTTGATAACAATTTTAAAATTAATTTTAACAAAGATTTTAGGATGTTAGGAGAAAAATAAAAATTTTGTCATTAAAATAATTCTTAAATTTAAAAAAAAAGTACATGAATTTTGGAAATATGATTTTATAGTTTCGATGTATAAATAAGAGTAGTTTTAGAAAATTTGAAGAAAAAAATTACATTCATTTCTCGTGAAAAAAGATGAACGATCTTTAGGTAAAGATTTCGTGATTTGATTTCATAATAATCTTAAAAAAATAGACTTTTCAAAGGTGGCACACTAAGGTCTAGAGAAATGATGTTTTAAGACAAAAGACAATCAAAGTTTTAGAGTTCTTAAGATTATTTTATGCGAAAAATTAAATTACGATTAAAATAAAAAACTCGTATTTAGGAAAATTAATAATGTCAAATGATGCACAAACAATCCAAAAAACGATCGTAAGATAAAGAGTCCACGTTTTTATGTATTTTGTTAATTACAGATAAACTATAGTTAGGGCAACATTTTATGATTTTTCCTATATTTATAATTTTTATAAAAATAAAGATTTTTCATTGGAGCTCAATTTAGAATTTGGGAAACAATATTAGGATTTTGAGAAAAAATAAAAATTATCAATACAAGCTTTCAGATAACCGAACTTATGTGAGAATAGTATATTATTTTAGAAGTGAGAAAGTTGGTCATTTTTTACGAATTCAATTCTAAATTTTTTCTAATCTTAAAAAATGACTACTATTTTTGTTTTTTTTTTTCCTTTTTTATTATCGAGCAATCAAGATAATTTGTAATCGAGTCATCTTTGGATCCGAAAACGTATGTCTGTAAAATGTCAAGTGAAATGACAAGTCGAAACGTAAAATAGCATGATCAAAAAGTTGATGATTATAATAACTACATTTAAAATTTACTTTCAAAAGGTAAATGCCCAATGTAAATGCACCTTTACCGTCATTATGATTGATGAGACAGTGGTAGCGCAGAGCGCCACCTGTCGGTGTGTGGAGAATCCAGACCTCTAAKCACSGGGGGCMGGGAATTTGCAAAGCAAATCTCCCAAAAACGCCCACCGGGAGAGGTAAACCGACATCAGCCAAAACAGCTACTCCTCGGGCAAATACCCCGCCAGGCGCTGAATTACATGACCAATGCCGGCTCCCCCACATCAACTGGACAATTATGCCCAAATCTTGATGTGAAAAAGAGGCACAACATCATACATCGAGCAAACTGCAGACCGGTTTCGCCCTTTTGGGGCTCATCAGTGCAGTGTAGCTCGATGTGTGATGTGGCCTCGGGAGTCTTAAAGCGACTACGCATTGGTCATGTAATTCAGCGCCTGGCGGGGTATTTGCCCGAGGAGTAGCTGTTTTGGCTGATGTCGGTTTACCTCTCCCGGTGGGCGTTTTTGGGAGATTTGCTTTGCAAATTCCCAGCCCCCGGTGTTTAGAGGTCTGGATTCTCCACACACCGACAGGTGGCGCTCTGCGCTACCACTGTCTCATCTTCACCGGCGTAGTCGCTTTAAGACTCCCGAGGCCACATCACACATCGAGCTACACTGCACTGATGAGCCCCAAAAGGGCGAAACCGGTCTGCAGTTTGCTCGATGTATGATGTTGTGCCTCTTTTTCACATTATGATTGATGTTTTAAAAAACTGTCAAATTAATTTTGACATACATCAGTTTTTGCTAAATGCCAGCTGTATCAGTTTTTAATAAATTTCAAGCAATAGCTCTTATTCAAAGCGGGATGTCTCGGTAACTTTGGGGATTCTAAAAACTTTGACTTTGTCAGTGTCAAAAAGACAAATATGCCATACATTAAAAGCTTAAACATAACCATGAGTACCTAAGGTGGTATAGTTTAGAAATTTTGACAACTGAATGACACATCTGCCCAGTTTTCCGTGTCCCCCACTGTATTATTATACGACTAATTCCAGCTCATTTTGCCCTTTTACCTTACGACTTGTCATTTTATTTGACGTTTCACGTGAAGTTAAAAAACAGACATACGTTCTCGGATGCAACGATGGCTCGATTACAAATTATCTTGATCGCTCGATATTATTTAATTTTCTCCACAGTTAAAAACTGAATAAACTTCTCAACTAAAAATGGTTGAAAAAAGTACAAAACCTTAACATGATTAGAAAAACTCTTTAGTTTTAGTCTTTCTTGAAAAAAGGAATTACTGAAAAATGGATTTACAGGCAGAGTAAAAAATTGTCTTTATAAATAAAAACACATCCTTTTTAAAACTTATAAATGATTTCTAGAACATTAGGGAAGGATTTAAGAAAAAGTATACAAGAACCCAAAAGTCAACATCAAGATTTTGTATAAATTTGAATAAACTCATGGTTTATCATTAGAATAATGAAACCATGACCTTTCAGCGTTTCCGCATTGTTGCCACATGCATGCATTTTTCCTAATTAGCCTAGTCAAATTTGACAAATCGGTGGAAAAAATCCTAGAGAGTTGGAATTTTTTTTAAACGCTTTCTTTACACTTGGGTAGACATATACAGGGTGCGCCAGAACTCGCGCCCCAGAGAAAAATACCATATAATGTAAGATACCAGGAACATGGAAAAAATGTTAAAAAAAATTTATCTATAAAAATTTCGAAGTTATGAGGGTTTAAGGTTTGTACTTTGACTCTATAATATATTCACTAAACTCCCGACATGTCAAAATGACATTAAGTTAGTTAAACAAAAAGTCACTATGGCTATGTTGGTGACAACTTCACTCAAAGTTTAACAACCTGGTCGCTATCACTTGATTTGAAATGATTTAATTATTATCATTGGTGCATGTGCCGTGTACCATGGAAACTTGACATCAAGTACAGTCAGATTAAATAATAGTCATCTGTGTCGTTTGGGATACACTCAAAAATTTTGGTTTGACATTGTAAACGTCACGGGAGTTTTGTGAATACATAATATTTATTTCTGTTGGAAAATAATTTTCCAAATTTTTTTGCTATAGGCTATTAAAAGAGGAGACAAGGAAGCTGTATACTAAATTGTAACTCCATTAAATGTTATTTGTGGCTTTTATTGGCAAAATTTACGTACCTTTACTAAATAATTGTAAAAAAAACATATACAAGATCATCAGTATTATTAAATAGACATAAAAAAATGTCAAATGTCAAAAAATAAATGTCAAAATTTTTTGACAGATAGAATTTTTTAAACATTTTTTTCATGTTCCTGGTATCTTACCTTACTTGAAAATTTTCTCTGGGGCGCGAGTTCTGGCGCACCTGTATACATATACAGGGTGAATATAAAGTATGGAATCAAGCGGTTTTATTTATAATCATTTGCCTCCAGAAAATAATAATTAATATAAATTAAAGTAATATAAAAAATCTGATCGTATTTTCAGAACAAAATTTTGTTTGTTTTTGAGTTATGCGATTTTTTTTTGTCAAAATTGCAATTTATGTGAAAAATTTTTTTTTGAAAAAATTAAATATAAAGCAGATAGTTGTAATCCTTAGAGTATAGCTTTTATGAGAAAAATGATTTTATAGTGGGTTGCCATTTAAAAAAATATTTTTTTTTGTAGAACTCAAAAACAAAAGGAAATTTCGAAAATTTTTATTCTTG